ATATTTAGATATTTTAAAATCAAATTTGAGAGACAGTACCCAGAAATTAGGTCTTCCTGATAATTACTGGCTTCAGCGAGATATTCCTTAAGACTTGTTTAATTAGTGAATGGCTCTTACATAATACACCTTATACTCACCGGTAAATTGAAAATCGTTTGCAAAAATATAAAATTTCAAATGGAAATGCTTCAAAAACTGCCGTGACATCTGAAAATTAAGTTAATTTGTTTTCAATCCTTTCGTAGCCACCCAGCCTTTCGCGCGTAAAATGATTATTGTTTAAACAGTACACTGAATCATTTTATCGATTCGATAGCCTTCCGACACTTCCGTAAATCCTTCCTGATCGAAGATCGCGGTAACGATCGAACGCTACCAGTCCGTTTCTGCGTATTTCCCGATCGATAGTTAATCTATTTGAAAGGGTAATTGGAATTTTAATTATTGCGCGTCGAAAGACGAGCCAGCTGTCGTAGGCGTTGACGCAAACTTTGATATCTCTCGCGTTATGTCATTGTGTTTATCGATCTCGCTTGGTAAGCAAGCCTCGTAGTAGCGAAGAATGCCTTACGAACGGATGGCGATAGACCCGTTTAGATTAGGCGTGTTTGCCCGGAATTTCGAATCGTCGCAGTTATTCGTAACCCGAAAAGGTACGTTCTTTTCGAAACGGGTCAAATGGAATTCTACTCGTCAGCGGTGGTTGCTTCGGTATCGTAATCGGATGACATCATGCTCGCTACCGCGGCATGCTACTTATTATGCTGTTTTTCCCCAACGGGCCATTTACGTGGAATAAATGAAAAAAAAATATAAACGTCAAGTTTTCCAATTTACGGCGCTCACAGATAAGAAATACGGTTCTTCGAGGCTTCACGTCGACCATTCTATGTGCAAAGTTAGTATTCGACGATCATCTGTCGAATGCAGTTTCAAATAAGCCTCACCCGTCTCAAATTCCATTTTTTTTTTTCCATCTTAAAAATAGCTTCGTATGTTACGAAACGGTCAGTTTCCTATCACTTCTCATTTTTTTCTTTATTTTGTACTTGTAGGTCTACGAAATTGGCAATGTCGAGTGTATAGTCCTACCGAAATTAATTCTGACGGGTTCTCTAAAACTGTTCCAGATGTATGAGTGACATCATTGGAACCATTATGGAACCTGCAGATTCGGTTCGTAAACCTCGTTCAAACAGTGCGTACTACGCAGAGAGAAGAATCGTTCCAACGAAAGAGTATTTTGTGAAGATAATAATTTATTTGCATATTAAATAATTTATACAATGTTTATGCAGTATGCAATGTGTCGATCAAGCGTACAAAGAATAAAAAATACTCCCGACTCTTCTGCAGGGCAACCGAAGATGCTGATACGATCAAGTAGCAGAAGATTCCCATGTTTCCTTGTTACGAAAGATGCAAAGTCAGCAACAATAGCAGCGACGAGATTAATAACTACGTTGGTGTACGTTGCGACGAATGAACAGCGCCAAGAGCTCTTGAAGGAATTAATTTCGACGCAAATTGAAGCTCGTTTTACTTTTGACGCTTTTGGATGCTCGCTGTGACTCAAAGTTTGAGAAAAGCGTGCAAAGATTGTTCAAATTCTAAAGAATTCGAGCCGGAAACATATGACGGCGCGATCCAATTATAGATTGGAGCGTTAGGTGTGTATCGCATTTTTCCTCGAATTGCCTCGTGGATCGATAATAACGACGTTCAATGAAAAAGATGTTGCGAACGTGATCGATCAACGATTCACGTAACGAGAATGAAAAAGAGAAAAGAACAATAAGAGGAGTCGAATTTCGATTATCGAAAATATAGATCGCCAATATTTTCGAGACTATTCGTCTGCCCCGGTGATATCGATATGGCGTTAGACCCATCGTTAGTTTTTATCGATTCGATCGGTTCTCAATGGCTACACAAGGTTATCGAATCGAACTAGGAGCGATCGAAGTGGCTCGATACCGGTTCTCTGATTCATCGTAGCGAATTGTTCGGCGAAGCGTTCATCTCAATCGGAGTTGTAAAAAGATTGCATAGTTATCCATTGACTACATTCATTGAGTAATTTCATCCTTGGCGTCAAGCGTACGTAGTATCCTAACAAGATTAACAGGATATACTTATATAGTTGTATATATTAACTCACATGCAAACTTAATATTCCGAAATCGTTTCAAAGCCTAATATAGTTAGAAATTTCGATTCTTTATAGTAGTTGTTCACAGTAGAAATTCTTTATAATTGTCTCAAGAACCTAAGCTTGTATTATAACACTTTTCAAGCCCCGGAAATTCATAAAAACTGTTTCGTCACGCGATCAGCGCGTCGTATTGATTCAATGGTATTTCCGTGTAAATGAAACAATTGCTTTCTTTACTAAATGAGAGGACCGACCTTGATGTATTACACCCAGGCTCGATTCTTGTTCGAGTAACAGGTGATGTCAAGGAGGTATGTACATTTAGATTATTATCTTTCGCGTTCGTAAGACGTTGCTTGGTATATGCGTCATCCGTTTAACTTCCCTCTGCATTAAAATACTCTTGGAAAGAGTGCAACATAAATTTCTGAAGATATAGCAACAGGCAGAGTAGGTCAATGCATGTCTATCCTTGACCATAATTATGAACCACTGCTGAAAATGCTTAATTTAGCATCGTTGCGAGAACATAGAATCCTGGCAGATCTTGCATTCTTTTGTTTTAAATTATCCGCTCTACGCGACACCGGACCCATATAGATCCGTGGATCTGGGAATCTCTCGTAAATCATTATTAATTATACCATGCTTAAAGGTCTCAGTCTGTTGATATCAATGAATAAATAAATATACCGTTTCTGAGAATAACGCCAGGTAGAGTAGGTCAGTTTGTCTATCCTTGACCATAATTAGGAACCACTACTGAAAACGCTTAATTTAGAACCGTTGCAAAATTGTTGAGTCTTGGCAGACTTTGTATTTTTACTTCCTGACCTATAAAAGAGAAAAGTATTGCGATCGAGAAAATTTTCAAAAAGTCATTAAAAAAGAAATAATTTAAATAATTTAAGAATATATGCCTCAACGAGATCCATATAGATCTAGGACTCTAGAGATCCGATCGACTGAATCATTCTTTCGGCTAACACTCATAATGTTGACTTTTTTTCTTGCTCGGTCATATCACTCATAAATCATTTGAATAAAGAGTTACGAAGCAAATGAATCACATTTTGTAGAACACAGTGCATTTACACGCTACTATAATTAAATTCAAATATATAGTATATAGAAATTAATAAATAGTAATACAAATTTTAGGAGAATAATGACTGGCGCATTAGTATATTGGCAACAGAAGCGTGTCTCCGAAATTCTTGTTCAGAGTTTCAAGAACACGCACGCTTTGATTTATCGGGGAGCATTAAGTCGGGGTTCTAGTTTGTTGGATGATAAAATGACTCATTTTCGAAGACGTATATTTTGAAAACAAATCATCGTACGAAATACAAACTTGACATCACGATTTGTTAAAACTGAAACATAGTAATTGCAGAGCCCGGAAATACCAAAATTATCAAACGAAAATACGAAAATAAGAAATAGGGTGTTTCGAGAAGATACTTGTTAATAAAAGGCCTTTATCTTGTGGACCTTGAGTACCAATTAATCGCGTAAGCTGTATTCGATCACGCTTCATCGATGAGTGTACACATTCACTAATTTCGCCAATTAAAGTATACATGTAAGAGAGTAATAATTCTTCAATTAGTAAATGTATACATTCAATAGCGATACTGCGGTCTACGCTTTAATCATTACGACGTTAGATAATTGCTTGCTACCTCTCAACCTTGTCTGCCATTCCGCACTACGTGCAAGGCAGTCTGGTTCTTTCTCTCGAGAAGAGTACTCGATAATTCGTTAATTTGTTACGCGTTAGAAGAAACAACAAGTTTAATCAAAATGGCTCCGCCAGAGACACCGTAGCCAGGATGAAATAGACTTCGTGGAGTACGTGATCGAGAGGAGAGTTCTAGATCAGGAGAGACTCGATACCGGAGAAGGGTAGATCGTTCATCCTTTGCGAGACGTTACACTTTTAACTACCGAGACGTGGGCAGATGCGAGCGTAATCGTATCACGGCTGCGACGTCGGTTTATCCCTAATGAAACGAAACGGGTCAAGAACATCGTTTTGTTCGCTTCGTACGTGTATGCTAAGTTATATTGGAGCCGTCTCGATTTGTTACGCGATTCGCGTCGGTTCGTTCAGCGAGTAGCAAACGAATTCTCCGGGTCGCGGAACACTTTGACGAACGATAGGCATAATGAGAGCAAAGACTCTTCCTTTCGTGCTCAGAGTCTCCACGGAGCCTAGGGGTAGATCGAAACCTAATTTTCGAGTGCTCTATCTTTGTGCCATTCTGCTACTGACAGAATTTTATCGCGAAAAAAAATAATTTCAAATCATTCTGAAAAAATTACATTTAGTTGCAGGGGTCAATTACAATTATTTTTGGTGAATAGACATACCCCCGAAATCCTACCCACTTTTGAGAAAAAAAATTCTTTACCGAATTCTATGGCCAGAAATATCTCCTTTGAAAGATCATAATTTCCGGATGGATTGGGGGATTTTATAGAATATATTGTATATAGAATTTTATAGAATATATAGAAATTCTAAGAAAACCCAAAATGTTGTTCCTTGACCCCGTAAAGAGAGGAAAACTCCATAAAAATGGTACAATTCCTCATTTTTATCACTTTATATGTAGCATTGCCTCAGTCCCGAGTATTCCGAACAATCGGAATTTTACTGTATTTCTATTTAGTATCGTGTAAGCGATTATCGCGTGTCGTAGTCGGATGTTTGACCGTGCGTGAAAGTGATCGAAACGCGGTAGTTTACGATGGTTTGAGTCGAGGTCAAAAAACCGAAGACGTCGATACGTTCCAGTCTGGCACATTCCATTAATATTATAATGTGTCCGATAACGACCGCTCATAGAGCTCCGATCGACGTATCGACTGCAAGGCGCTATGAAGCATACCTCTGAGAGACGTTCCCCCCATTTGAGAGGAATCCGTCTCTTCGTCCATAAATTGCGGTTTTATGGTAGCGACGCTATTAGCGGAACAGCCTTTTTTTCTATCAATTTCGATCGTTAAATTTGAAATTCCGTGCATGGACGCGAACTATTCGAGTTTAGCGATTTTGAGAAGGAACGGCTCGACCCTCGACGAGCACGTTGCACAAGATGCCGTACCACGGTCAACACGGTCTACTTCCTCCGTCTTGTTACGGGAACCTTGCGGCGAACGACATATTACGCACGTGACATTTAGCGAGAACCAGAGAGAGACACGCTTTGACGCGATTCCAAACGAGACAGGATGACTCTTTGATCGGTCGCGCATTTTGGCACCGTCGTCGACGTACGATGCCAGCTGTTGCCGAATCCACCGAGTATCGAGCACGCCTGGACGAAGGCTGAATAAAATGTAACGGGAACTCGAAAGAGTTACGCGAGCCCCGACATTGTTTCCAACCGCGTATTCCGTACGAATTTCAATCGCGACCGACTCGTTTCCATTTTCGAAAGCGAGAGCACGTTGAAAAACGATGGTACAATAGTTCCGCGAACAGAGAGTGTCGAACGGATCTTATACGCCCCGTTGGTTCTTCCGTACTTTGAATATGCATCCCAGGCTTGGAACGCTTTGCAATTGTGTCGCACTAAGCTGCTCGAGAGTGTACAACATAAATTCCTAAGGTATGTCTCTCACAAGATTGATAGACCTATGAATGTTAACGTGTCACAGCTATGCCAACACCCTCGACTTCTATGAATCGCAGTCTCATCGCTGAACGATTCGACGTATAGGACGATAGCAATAGTAATAGTAATTTTGTTTATTTTGACCACCGTCCACGAAAGTTTCAATTTTATATCTGTTTAGATCGGGTTCGCTAATCGCAAACTAAATCCGTTGCAAAATCAAACTCGACTTCTATGAATTGCAATCTCCTCGCTGAACGATTCGACGTATAGGACGATAGCAATAGTAATAGTAATTTTGTTTATTTTGACCACGAAAGTGTAATTTTGTATCTGATCGTTTAGATCGTGTTCGCTAATTGCAAACTAAATCCATTGCAAAATCAAACTCGACTTCTATGAATTGCAATCTCCTCGCTGAACGATTCGACGTATAGGACGATAGCAATAGTAATAGTAATTTTGTTTATTTTGACCACGAAAGTGTAATTTTGTATCTGATCGTTTAGATCGTGTTCGCTAATTGCAAACTAAATCCATTGCAAAATCAAACTCGACTTCTATGAATTGCAATCTCCTCGCTGAACGATTCAACGTATAGCACGATAGTGATAGTAATTTTGTTTATTTTGACCACCGTCCACGAAAGTTTCAATTTCATATCTGTTCAGATCGTGTTCGCTAATCGAAAACAAAATTCATTGCAGAATCAAGCTCGTCGAAGATGAGATCGTGCGAAAGTCTAGCGACGATCGTCTTCGTCCTGTTGCTGTCGATGGTGAGAGGCATACCGGATCTCACGGGACTTCCGGTTGGGCCGTATTGCGCCAGGAAGTATCCGCGGGGCGATTGTTGTTCAGGACGCCAGGACGATTGCAGCGAGCCGATCCTCACCACGCTATGCTACTGCGACGAATTCTGCGACCGGTACAGAGAGGAGGATTGCTGCCCGGATTACTGGAGCCATTGCAAGGGGATGGAAATCAAGCCGCCCCTTGGAGAAATCAGACGTTCGTAGTTGACGAAACTCTATTCGGTTAGAGTCGACGACTCTGCGCGACCGTTCGAAACCGTCTAATCGATTCCGACGTTTCAGGATGCTTGTTCCAGGGAAGGGTGTACAACCACGGTCAAACCTTAAAAGTCAACTGCAACACATGGTAGATAATTCCCTTAAATTCTCCATTGATCGTGTTCCAGCGTTCGAGACAATTATCTTCACGCTCGTTTTGCTCGATTTTTAGTCAATGTTCCTCGGTGGGCGAACGCGCGGAAGTACTCTGCGAGGAGAACCGTTGCCTCCAGGAACGGGATCTGATAGACGAAATCAATATTGGAAGTGAGGCCCTGGGTTGGAGAGCTGCGAATTACACGGAATTTTGGGGCAGAACGCTCAAGGAAGGCGTACAGCTTCGTTTGGGTACTCTGAATCCCTCGCGATCGGTAAGCGTTAGGATAAAACAGCAAAAAGAGACCTAGAATGTCGAGTTTCAAGAGGGCTGATTGTCCTAATACTCGTGACGGTTGAATATTCATTGCAATTTGTCGTCGAAGGTCCACAGGATGAACCCTGTTAGGCGAATTTACGAACCGGATTCGTTGCCGCGGGAATTCGACGCCAACTCCAGGTGGCTCGATCAGATCACCAGAGTCGTGGACCAGGGATGGTGCGGAGCATCTTGGGCGATATCCGCCGTGCAAGTCGCGTCCGACAGATTCGCCATCATGAGCAAAGGCGCCGACAGCGTCGATCTCAGTGTCCAGCACTTGCTCTCGTGCAACAATCGGGGCCAGCAGGGCTGCAACGGTGGCTACTTGGACAGAGCTTGGATGTTCGTGCGGAAGTTCGGGTAATTTGTTGATAAATTTACCAATAAATTCCATTACAATATGACAAGATGGCTTAGTTGGATCTAACGGAACAGCGTCGCCTTTATTAACAAATATTTTGTACCGTGTTTATCGTTATTGCTCGATGCGACTAAAAATGACTGCGTCTCGCAAGTTATTGTTAATGAGGCTGTTAATCGCGCGTTGTTTCTAGCTTGGTAGACGAATCATGCTACCCGTGGAGGGGTTCGACTGATCATTGTAAGCTGCGGAAGAGAACGAACTTGAGGGGCGCAGGATGCCCCGCCGCGACGAATCCTCTTCGAACGGAACTGTACAAAGTCGGGCCAGCCTATCGTTTGAGCAACGAGACCGACATCATGCAAGAGATCCTAACGTCAGGCCCTGTACAAGGTAACTTTTTCGTGTCCAGCTTAAGGATAGGAACGAGATTAATTTGAATTATCTTTTAAGACCAATGTAGTCCTAGTTCCGGAGCCCTCGTCAGGGCAACAAGTTATATTCGAAACATAAAGTTGACCCACTTGGTTGGTAAAAAGAGACCTTTCTTTTTATAATAGTATCTTGCGTTATGGTTTCACGTGGCTTCCGGTTTGTCTTGCCCTTGTTTTTCCTATGGAATTCCCGCGCCACGTGTTCGACACTTGTTTCAATCTGTTATCTCTTCAACAACATTCGCGTTAAGAATTTCTTGGCCATATATTTCTGCGTCGCGTTTAATTAGTTTTGACGGGTCATTTTTAATATTAGCCTTAAGGTTCTTTCGCTCCATTAATAATACGACTGTGAACTCGCTGATTTATTATTAGACAACATAGCATTGTATTTTATAACGATGCTACCAAGAATAACTTTCCTCCTATCGATCGGAACAACTTTATGCTTCAAATATTAGTTCACGAGGAACCAAAACCAGGCACGGTTATAAATATTCGATTTTATGACTGAAATTGTTTACTCTCTTTTACTCGAATAAGAATCTTGTCCATCCGTGCGTTGATCTCTCTTGTACTGTACCGGATATATTGACTATGTTCGCAGCCACCATGAGAGTCTATCAAGACTTCTTCTCGTACAAGTCGGGAGTGTACAGACACTCGGCAATCGCGGAACGTTACGAGTCTGGATACCATTCGGTGAGGATAATCGGATGGGGAGAGGAATCATCTTACGGGGGCGGATCGGTTAAATTCTGGGTAAGCTTCACCTGTTCTCAACGCTTTGGTACGAAATAAAATTAAAGCAAAGAGGTTCTTGGACTCGAATTCGATCTCTCCGCCATTCTATAGATCCCAAGCGATGATTACTATTTTTACCTTAAATCCCCCGTAATCTTTTTTGTTCCAGAGGGTCGCGAACTCCTGGGGCGTCGACTGGGGCGAGGACGGTTTCTTTCGAATCCAAAGAGGGACGAACGAGTGCGAGATCGAGTCGTACGTTCTGGCCGTGTGGGCGAAAACCGTTTAGAGGGCGAAAAGTTTCGACGTTCGAGGTTCAATGTTCGCCGTTCACCGGAAACTCCGCGACAGACAGTGCATTTATCGACTCGTCGTCGTACCGTCGAGACGCTCGTCTCGACGTTATCGTTACGCGAAATCATGTACAAACTAGAATCGATAAACATCCGTGCACGATCAACGAACCGGCCCGTTCCTCCCGCGATGGGACTCGGACAGTCGGTTGTTCCCGCAATAACGTCGATTACGAAAGATGCAGTTGGAATAATTCGTACATTCTAATCGTACGTATGTATTTGCGTGTTTGTACGGAATAAAGTGCCAAAATACACATGCGTTTATAAGTAAATTGATTCACGGACAATTTCATTGGGACGAAAGTTACGGTTTGGGTGACAGCGATTCCTTTGGGATCGTTTTTTACCGGTCCGTCGGGAGGCGTGCTCGTTTGTCGTGCGGGTATCCCGTTCGAATCTCGATCGAGAAACAGGTTGCTTTTGTTCCTGCGGAATAAACTTTAGAAAATACAAGATCCCGTCGAGGCGCGTCGTTATTACGTACCGATCGAATTACACACCTATTTTTCAAACTACGACGCTACGTCGAGCGGTCTTGCAATGCGGACTGTACACCTCCAATTTGTCCTTGGGCGTATTCATCGCGGAATAATCGATGGGGAACGGTACGTTATTGCCGCGGAGTATGCAGGAGTCCGTCATCCCGAGGAAATGTTCTCCAGGACCGAAAGGACCTCGACCAAACAGATAGTTGGCGAACACGAGCTGATACTGTGGCCAACCGAGTGGATGACCTCCGTTCTGAAGCGAGAAAGCGATCATTTTACTGTTCCCCCGTGACTTCCTATTCTGTTTACGGTAACCGTCCAATTATTCTTTGTTTTTCGAACAATAACAACAACGTTTTACCGATGTCATAGAATTGTACGCTATGTCCAAACACTTGGAGATCCTCTCCGAGTCCAGGCCAACGACGGACCCGTAAAACGAAGCTAGCTCCGTCTTCGAAATGATCCCGTTCGCCGAGCTGTTGATCGCGAGGAAAAATACCCTCGGCAGAATCTTCAACCAGAACGGAATATCGTTGTAAGAAGCGCCGCCGACAGGTGCGACGATTCGTGCCCACCAACAGAGCCAATCGTCCAACCCGATCTTCTTCCCCTGGTCGCCCTCGTACTTCCTCTCGTCCAGTATCAATTCCGCCAGCCCTTCCTCCGCCTCCATCAGACGCAAATACTCGGGCCCGTTCCACGACCAATCCGCGAACCTTCTGAGTCGCTTTTCAAAATTGTGAAACATTAGCATCCGTGAACGCGATTAAATTCTAGCGTTGCTAAGCTCGTAGATACCTCCGAAAGCATTCGAAAATCTTTCCTGTCGATGAAACCATCTTTGTCGTGGTCCAGCAGATAGGTAAAAAAGTGCGAGAACTTGTCCCGCTGAATGGCCGCCAAGTCCTTCAGTCTTCCTCTGGTCCCGAGTCCGTACTCTTCAATGGCCTCGAGGTTCTCGTCGCTGGGGTATCGGCTCACCCAGGTCGCTGTATCGGGGAGAAAAGAAAGCGAGAAAACAAAAGGCCCAACCGGCAAAGAAAGGAACGAAAGGTTGAAAGAACAGTTTATTAGCCGTGAAATTATGGAAATTGTAGGAGAGACCAGGGACGGTAGCAATACACTGCGTGTGTTGCTATCTATTGTATATTTTAAGATATTAACGCGTTACTATCGTCCCAGATCTCCCCTACTGGTAGACAGGGTTGTTCTCGTCTGGTGTCGTGTCTGAGGTTTTCTTTCGAAAGAGGAATTACGTGAGCTTACTCCAGACGTGGACGCTCCAACCAGGATGCTCCAATTGCTTGTTGGGGATCGGAGCGCCGACGATCTCGTCGATGTTGGTCGACACTGTTCGCCATCTCTTCAACAAATCCTTGGTCCTGTCGCGCGTACGGTCGCAAGCCTGTCGCCAGTTCGCGATAAATTTACGGGGTACTTTTAACGTGTTGCTTTCCTCGAGACCGAGTTCCTGGCTGCCCGCGGAACTTCTGCTTCTGTCGATCGTCTCGGAATCGGTCACGGGCACGGACCCCTCCGCGATCTCTTGCATCGGGGGATAATAAATCGGATCCTTTATGCTGTCCGAACGACTCTCCATAGCGGACTACGCCTCCTTGCTGACAATATATTCCGACTGCCTCTCGTGAAATAATCAATTGCACGACGAGAGGTCACCGGGTCGCTCGATATTACGTATAGAACCGCGCGAACTGTTCTCGTTTTTTGTGATCGCCTAACGTGGACATCGACGCTTTTCTTCGCCGCCCCTCTCCCTCGACTCATTTGGTTACCACGAAAAAATGATAAATTTTGTTTTAGTAACATAGAAATATTTTTAAAAGTATTACAAATATAATATCGCAGTGATTTGTTCTCGATCACCGCTATTCAATCATAATGTGAATGCGCGTATATGTATATCTGGTGACAGTGACCAGGAAAATTGCAAATAAAAGTTAAAGTAATCTTTCCTTTAACAATTACAAATTACAGAGTTATTACTGCAGATTATAAAATTAGTTAATAATGATTTTTACCTTATATTTACACTCCAGTGAAATTAAATAATCTACTCACAATACGATTTAATAATCTGTACAAATTTCAAATTCTGTTAGTTAAATCACCCCCATCGTTTTCAATTCAAATTTGAAATTGATTCGCGCGTCAGCCAAGAAATTATATGTATGAGATGTATGATACTTCGATCGAATTTTTATCTGGAGTTTAACGCACTTGGTGGCCCACAGGTGTCCTTACAGTCGATATTTACAGATGGCGAGTCCACCATCTTTAGTACTACCGTACGATGGTTTAACACGTCGATGTGCTTAAAAACGAGGCTCTTTCCTTCTGTTCCAATCGCGAAGGGTGAGTGCTACGTGTTGGAAATCGAATTATATCCTGAGCATCCACGTTTATTTCTGGACCGCGTGCAGAGGAGATTCAGTACCAGGCTCGCTCGTACAAAATGTTCTTATGATTTTTCAATATTATTCAATCGGGAATATTACATTTTACTATTTTGTATAAGTTAACCTCAGTACACACTTTCACATGTTTATACACATTTCGCTTTCGTGATCTTTGCACACCGGTGGTAAAGCGTTCCATCGATTTTAGTCGTAATTCATCGTTATTTCAATTAAATTTTATTCTGCAACGTTTTTCGCGATTATTTTACAAGGAACAACGTAGGTATATTTTCAACGATTTGTTTCTTTTTCTTTCAGGGCTTCACAATGGGTGCATATAAGTATATGCAAGAGTTGTACCGTAAAAAGCAGAGCGATGTGCTTCGCTTTTTACTTCGCGTCAGATGCTGGCAATATCGCCAGTTGACCAAAATGCATCGTGCCCCCAGGCCATCCAGACCAGATAAAGCTCGCCGTTTAGGTTACAAAGCTAAACAAGGTACGGGGAATATCTATTCGTAATACTACGTGTAAACGTACGCGAGTTAATTAATTAGTTTTCGGTTAAGATCGCAGTAATATTACAAAATCTAAAGAATATGGCAAATTTACATGATGATACGTACATGCACCACTTTGACTTTAACATGGTTGATATAATAATGTACCCGCTGATACCTTTTTCTATTCGATTTAAGCAACTTAAGTTTCAATAAATGCAAAAGATAGATGGGAAATTTTCTTTTCTATACGCAGGTTTTGTCATATTCAGAATCCGTGTGAGGAGAGGCGGCCGCAAACGTCCTGTCCCCAAAGGTGCAACATATGGGAAACCAAAAAGCCATGGTGTTAATCAACTAAAGCCCACCAGGAAGTTGCAGTCTGTTGCTGAAGTGAGTATATTATATAAAGAGTATAATGGTTTTGTTTTTTCTTAAATGGTTAACTGAAATACTTAACAATTTTTTTATTTCAAGGAACGTGTTGGTCGTCGCTGCGGTGGTCTAAGAGTGCTGAACAGTTACTGGGTAGCTCAGGACTCTACATATATGTATTACGAAGTTATATTGGTTGATCCTGCACACAAGGTAATCGATTCCCACTCATTTCTATCATGAATTATTTCCACGTATGTGTTTGTACAAAATGATGATACTGTTATGTGTAATGTTGAACACTCATGATATTTTATCTTCCTTGGATGTCTGAATCGCGCGAAGTAGTAAAAGATATGCAGCCCGACTCCGTCGAGTACGTCATTATAGCTCGCGATTACTTGCATTTCAGGAAATTCGTAATGATCCAAAGATTAATTGGGTTTGTAACGCCGTACACAAACACCGTGAACTTCGCGGAAAGACATCGGCTGGCAGGAGCTCACGTGGATTGGGTAAAGGACATCGTTTCTCACAAACTATCGGCGGTTCGCGTCGTGCAGCATGGCTGAGACGAAACTCATTATCGCTTCGCAGGAAGCGATAAGTTATTTGAATGTTTATAATTTAAAGACACACGCGAACAAGATACATCATTCTATTGATATAATATACGAACTGTTGTATCGATATTATGGTATATCCTGTGCGAAATAAAAATCCTTTCTTTAAGAACCGCTTGTACCGTTGTACATTTCTTTAACGAATCAAACAAATGTAAATATAAATCACACATGCAATTGCACGATATGTGTAATTACTATTCAAAGTTAAAAATTTTTTAATTTCTTATGATTTGTGGGAAGTCAAAACTCATGTATTTTCCATATTTGATTTCTGTAATTAACCGTCGCATACATTCAAATGTGAAATTAAAAAACATATATTTTACTGTCCAGGACCGGATAAAGAAATGTCCATAAACTTCTTTTTCGCGAAACAGAGCCACCATTTACTTGGCTTTCCATCCTCTCCGTATACCTTCTCTACGAGTCTGTTTCCGGTTTCTTGCCTTATTTGTTGTAAATACTGTCTCATAGTATCTGCAAAAACAATCTCGGTATAATGTTTCCCATGACTCTAAGGTGAATATGTCATTTACCAGCTTCTATGGGATTAGATGGTTTGGCATATACAGAATTCAAAGGGAATCCCGGATCGCCGGGTACATCGAACTTCGATTTGGCGAGAGAATACATTTCGTTCGTTGCTTGCGCTTGTGTTGCACACTTTTGCAGTCTTTTTAAACATTCGGTTATGTACAATGTAATATAAATTAAAACTCTATCAGCTTCGCTCTAGAAAATTATAACACGATAAGTATTTTTTCCAACAATTACGTGCACATTGAAATTACCTTAATTTCATATGTTCTAAAGAATACATTTGCCTTGAAGAAGTATAACGCTTCGTCAATTATATCTTGGTCTTTGCTAGTGAAAGGAGGCGCAGGACCTCTGACGTTTGTTCTAATAGGTAGAAGCGCCATATTACCGATGTTTCCATTATTTCCTACAAAACTAGAGTGATACGCCTGCAATAAAATATCAAACAATGCAACAAATCCCACATAAGTAGCATCATCGTACTTAAATACGTTCTACACAATTTTGTTTGTAATAGGTGACAAATTTTGACATCACTTCAACGAGGTTAGGATAACGCCCTAATAAACTGAACGGTTTTACTACAAGTTAAATATATACGGGAACTAGTACTTACAGGCATATCGACAAACTAATTTTAAAGAATATTATTTACAACAATAAATTCTTAGGCGTGTCTTGTCAAAACAACGTTGTCAACCGAGAGAACACATCAATGCGTCAACATTACCGCCTTCGGTTATAGATAACGAAACTATCAAGGAATGGCTCAAAAGCGTAAAAAGCAAAAGAAACTATAAGATCTTGGCATAACGTTAAACATCTGTTTGGTTTTTATATTTAGACATTGCTACATAAATTTTATTTGTCGTTGCATTCTTTATAAAAATTACAACGCAACAACTTTTACTTAGGAAATAATTATATTGTTATATGATGTTATGCTCGATATAATCTGTACTTGAATTTAGAAAAAAAATCTTTTCCTATGTTATTGCTTTATTTTCAACACTTTTAATTTTCTGTAATTTTCGAAATGTTGAATCAAGGATCAATGATTTTAGAACGACGGAAGTTATCCTAGTAATATTCTAATACGTCGTATTTTTAATTTTTTACGATTGGCGATTCTGTGCATTTGGTGTGGGAATTACTTCCGGTCATTTCCGTTGAATGGCGACGGCGATGGATAGTTTGTTTCGAAGTGCGTCGTAGTGTGTTTGCCTTCGTTATTTCGGGAGGTTTTTCAACTTTTCTTTCTCCGTATCGTGATTCTATTATTATATCGAGTCTATGCACGTGGATTAATTTCCAATCTCGTGTGTGCGGGAGTGATACAATTTGTAGCATAAGCGTGCCTTGTGTCGGACACTTTTTGCACAAGAATAATGGCCGATGTCGAAGGAAAAAAGCTGACCGAACTTCGAGTTATAGATTTGAAAACAGAACTCGAACGACGCGGGCTAGATAAGACTGGCAATAAAGCGGCACTCCTCGAACGTCTCTCCAAAGTAAATTTTCACACTGTTTCAAGTATTGTTTCGAAAGCTTTCAATAATATGCCGATCGCTGTTTTGTCGCCATTTTAACCCTATTGATTTCGCTGTTAATTTATTACTGGTATAGTTACCGTGTACAATAGAAATGAATTAATTTTCAAAGAGCTCGTACTATATTCACTTTTATCTTGTAACCGTTAAATTTTAAGCAATCTTGTCTATTTATTTATATCGGACTGATACAATTATAATTTATAATTTAATAATTTTATTATTTTATTTAAATGTTCTATTTGTTCACGATTATGGTAATTCAATTTTTGTTCTTATATGCAAAGTCTATATCTGACGAAGGGGAAAATCCAGACGAATATCTGATTATACCATGTGGTGGAGTATGCAAAGTTAGTCCAAGAAAGAACAGTGGTAGGTTATTTCAAGTAATGCATTTGTTATGAGGTATACAATATTTGGGATCATGGTATTCAATTGTGCTTGGTTTTAATTTTAGTAACTGGTGTAACAAATCAAGAAGAATTACCCGAAACATTGGAAAGTCAGAAAGAAGAAGTTACAGATGGTCCAGATGATAATGAAACAAAGCCAAAAACAGAGACAAAGCCTGTAATAGAAAAGGAAATGGCACCTAAAATAGAGGTAGATACAAATACTAAATTTATATGAATTGTAGAGAATATGGTTGGACCATATCCAGATATATAAATTTTATAACATAAACTGAAAGAAGGGTTATTTTAGGAACCTCAAAGTGAAGTTCAAAATAATACTAGCAAAGAAATAGAGTGCAAGCAAGAACCCAAAGTTCACTTGATTAAAATCACAATCGAAAGTGCACAGCCAATTGAAAAGAAAGTAGAGCCTGAAGCTGCAATTGTGGCAAATCAAACCTCTACTAGTTCAGCTTCAACAGTTGAAGCTAATGGCATCGATAACGAAGATTCAATTAATCTAACTATTGGGGAAGATGAAGAAAATCTCCTTGCTGAGGAGGTAAGGAAGTTATTTAAATTGCGGCATAAACGTTTATAGCAGTGTTTCTCGAACTTCGTCCTTCGCCCTACGCCCTACGCCCTATAAGAATATATATTTTCCTTTAATGTATCGTATTTAAACAATCCTTATTGCTTGACTTTCAGATAAAAGAATTGCATTACAAACAAGAAATCGAATCAAATTTACTAGCTTTTATTAATTTTCACAGAAGTAGAATGAAAAGTGATAAATATAATTAGTACAAAATATACTGTTGATAAAATTATAAAAACAGTCGTTCAAACCTAAATAAAATGGATGATGACGAGTCTCAGAAATTAAGCAAGATGTAGTAGTCACACTATAGATGAAACTCAGTTTTTTCCCCCACCAACAGAAGTTAAAAAATCAAAAATACTTTATTCCACAATGTACTGTATCGTTCCTTCCTTTCCCGAGAGCTCGCGGTCCCCAGTTTGAGAAACGCTGGCTCATAGGATGTGGATCTTACTGATGGAATATTTTTGTTACATTACAGACAGAGTCTCACGACAGACACAAGGGTAAGTTTTATGACGTATTAAATCGCATATTGTATTTAGATGTAAGATTTCAAGGAATAGACATAGCAGTACTTTTATTTATGGTCACGAGTAAGTTACTTAAATCTACGGCATCAAGACCAAGGGACTCGTTTCTCTGCGTGTGATACACCTCATCTATCCAGAACTACAACCGTGCCGAATCAGCCTACAAAGTTGTACGTCGTGCTTCATCTTACGTCCGTTCTCCGAGCTCTGCATGTCCGAACAAGTACGCATACAGGATGTGATGCAACCGCTTGTCACACGGACATGGCATGCAATGATTTCTCTACAAACTATCAATGGCACGACGGTCGACGAGGTTTCACCTAGAATGAAACGTACAGCCGTCGTCGTCCTCGCGCTGTCGTTGTCAACCATGTTCTATCAAAAAAAAAAAGTCTATCCCATAAGCGCTAGTCTATAAGTTAGTTAACGCTAGAGTTTGATATACAGTTACATTAATTCTACCTAACCGCATAGAGCATCGTTGGATCGTTACTGCCTCCAAATTATCTGGATACAAGAAGACTCAAGTGTATGTCAAGCCACGAATCTACCCCGTATACAGTTAACGACGCGACGTTGTTCGCCACACCGGAGAAATTGATATCTTCGAACCATGTGAATCCATGGACTTAAAAAAAAACACACACACAGCAGCATACATTTTGACAAATTTTTCCCACGCTGGAATTTTGCTGTAGCAAAATTCATAATTGTTGACATAATATCGTGTATGTGTCTTCCTTCCCCTACTCTTCATCTTCTCTCGCTACCTCTTCCTCCACTGCACCGCACCACAGTCCAACTGGCAGCTTCGTCCCTCCTTCCGCTAGTTTCTTTTGATTCAGGCTTCGATTCAGAATCTGGTGTGCAAAAGGTACAAAGGTAACTTTCAGTCATAATAGAGAGAAAAAAAAAATAAAAAAAAAAAAAAAATAAAGTAGGGTCGCTATGGAACGTACCATTGAAGAGCGAATTTGTGATATTGCGATCATGCGATCTTCATCATAATTCACTGCACAGTCTGTTAGTGGCTCGGAAAAGTTCCATGCAGGAAATACAGGCCACTATGCAGGAGTGTTAGGGAGGGAGAAGAAATCTGGCCTCGCAGAAAGTGACTATGCTACCTTGATTGTCTCTGCAGATGGAGGAGAGAAGAAGAAAGTGGAAGAAAACAAGAAGGGAGAGTCTAAAGGGAGCAGTAGAGCAGAAGCCGGTGCCAACAGCAAGGAAGGGACGACGTCAGGTGCAAACGTCGGGACGAAGAACAAGCAGGACGGTGGAGACGGAAGCAAGAGGTTGGTCTCTCATTGCTAAACGGTTCACAGTGGGTACGACAACGAAATGTCACACAGCTCTATGCTAGCGATGCTCTCTTCTGCCGCATACAAATACCATCAGGATAAATATATATATATATACTGTCGGACGATGGATTACCAAGATGAAATTATTCGTCAAAGTCGCACGCAAGATTACTTTATTCCATTTTTTTCAATCGCATACGAAGTTTCTTTCCGCTCGTACGTGTAGGCTGTAATTCTTAACTCTGGAAAGTATGTTAAGAAATCGAGAAATTGGCTAGCAAACTTAAGTCAAACCGAGTCTTATACCGCTCCTATTCGTAAACGAACATTTTTCAAAGGTGTTTACACGTTCTACGATTACCCATGAAACAGTTCCGTGCGCTGCCTTCTCTATCTGACGGAGGATATTCGTTTGTAAAACAAACAGCAGTCTCATCGAGCATGATAGCAAGACTATTAGTATCTTGAGGTAAATTATATACTCGGCAGACTGCGTTTAAGCCCTAACGCGACAAGAAGCAAATCTTATTGTTCGTCGGAGATACTGCTACTCTATATCTCGCGTATGTGTCGATACTTGTTCCAACTTTACAAGAAGTGCCCTCCCGGAAGAACAGCGAAGAGGCGATGCTCCCTTTCTGGAAAACTTGTGTCGAGGGATACGCAATCCAAACGTTCCCACACGGACATACTTTTAACACACAAGTGATGAAAACTGGAATGCAGACCACAGTGAATACATGCATAATAGTAAATTAAGTAAACTGGTAACGCTATTGTGTAACAACGACGTACAAGTGAACGCCAGAAACGCAAACGATCGTGTTTATTACTATTATTATTATTACTATTAATTACTACCACTGCTGCTGCTGCTGCTACTGCTGTTACTATTGTTACTGTTAATATTATTATGATTACTGAAAACGAAAAAGTTGCTAGCCAAATTTATATGCTTAACATAGTTACAGAGGTACTTATTAAGCCTCAGAAAGTCATAGTTTTTAAAAGATTACCTTTTGTACGTAATAAGAATTTTTGAAACGATTTGTAAATTTAATAAATACAATAATTATTTTCAGTGTGGAGTCTAGTAACAAAAGTCAAAAAAGAGAAGATAAAGGTAATTACTTGAGCCATTTAAACGAATATAAGAATCTTCATTTTGTTTATTACAGTTGCATGTTTAATTGTGTGTACAATACTATTTTCTTCCATACTCCTCATTTTGTTACCGCAGACAAAAAGGCTTCGCAAGTTAGTCCAGTTAATGCGAGCAGCAGAAATTTATGGGTATCTGGGTTGTCTTCGAGTACTCGTGCGACTGATCTGAAACAAATATTCTCGAAATACGGGAAAGTGATAGGTGCCAAAGTGGTTACAAACGCAAGAACGCCCGGTGCAAGATGCTACGGATACGTTACCATGTCCACGAGCGAGGATGCTGCAAAATGTATACAGCATTTACATAGAACGGAACTTCACGGACGCGTGATATCCGTAGAAAAGGTAGGCATAACAAAAAGAACAACGTTCCCATTGTTACGAGCATTCCGTATGCATTCTCTCTCGAGATCTCCATTCTTGTTTAAAGGCGAAAGGCGACACTCAGCAAAGTCATATGCGTAAACGGGACACTACGAATGGAAAGTCCGAGAAGAAGGAGGAGAAAGACAAGATAAAGGATAATCACGATGTAAGCGATCGAAAGGAGAAAGAACCGAAAAAGGAAATCGAAGATAAAGGGTTGGAAACAAGTAAGTTATTATTGTAGGAATTTATTCTTCGCGAACAAACTGTATTGATACATTTTTAAATGAAATTTAATTATTCGACAGGAATGTTCCAAGCACTTCGTTCTTTTCAAAACGTTCCAACAAATTTATTTTTTTAGTCTTGAGTGAAATTAGAATTTTTTTTTACTTGTTACACGTGTTTCAACATATTGTTACACGTTGTTTCATTACCGAGAAGAAAGAACGAAATTCTTGGAACGACATTTTTGTCGAATAATTATTTTATGCCAAACAACTTACATTGTTATTGTAAAAGAACCGTCTAAATGTGCGACAGCGAAAAAATCGGACGAGAAAAGCGATGGCGCTGAGAGCAAGAAAGCAGAGGTGCTGGAGAAGAAAGACGAAGTCTCCAAGGAATCTGATTCCCGATCAACCAAGTCGACCAGCAAAAAGCCAGAGGGCGAGAAAGGAAAGCGCGGCGGCGGCGGCGGCGACGAGAAGAAAATCCGTTCCTGGGATCATCATCGATCTCATACGCGATCCCGTAGCCGTGAACGGCGCAGACGCGACGACGTCCTCACATTCGCTAAGATCAGGGTAAAACTGGACTTTTCCATGATCCATCCGTGAAAACAAGGAGAACGATTACGAAGTCGGGCATATTTTCAGGAGGAACGGGAGAGGCAAAGATTACGCGAAAGAGAGAGAATACTTCGCGAGGAAGAACGAAGAAGGCGCGAAGATATGGAGCGACAGAGGGAAATTGATCGCAAACAGAGGGAAGAGGCCGCACGTTTGGAACGGGAACGGGAAAAGTTACGGAGGGAGAGAGAAAGGATCGAACAGGAGAAGGCGGAGTTGCTTCGTCTCGAACGGGAACGTCAAAAGGTCGAAAGGGAGAAGCTGGAGCGGGAAAGGTTGGAGCTGAAAAGGCAACAGATGCGGCTCGAGGAGAGCAGGCGTGCTCCGCCGCCACCGTCTATAAAACGATCTTCTAGCGACAGAAGGGATCCCAGAGACTTATACGTGGAACCGGACAGAAAGCGTATGACGACAGAGCACAGTCGAAGACACTCCCCGGAGCGAGTAAGTGATCGACGCGGTGAAATATTGGATCGTGTCTCTGATAGACGATTGGATGCATCGCCGCCTGCACGATACGAGTCTAGCAGGTAAAAATGTCGTCTGGATAATTTTATTACGGTGTTTGGCATTGATCGTACAAATCCCAGTGTTAATTACACTTTCGATGTGTTACAGATCCGCCCAAGATATCGGACTGAAGAAGGAATTTAAACGCAGCAGTGATTTCCCTTCGCGAAGTAGTCGCCCGGAAAGTTTCTCCGAAGTTTCCCGTGGTAGGGAAGTTATAGTACGCCGAGAGGCGCTTAGCACGACGGCGTCATCCATTGATCCTCGACAAGTGAAGGAAAGGTAAATTACATATCGATTAAACGTTAGAAAGTTGGCAAACGATTGATCTCATCGAATATGATCAAAAGATCGTCGACGAAATTTTTCAGCAGGTATGAACGACCAAGTACGACCACTTACACTCGCGAGCGCGAAGTTCGACGTTCCGAGCCGGAAACGCATAGGAGCTCCAGGGACAGTCATACGCGTTACAGCGAAAGTTTCAAACCTACAGGTTCCAGTACACCACGTAAGTATTTATTGCGCTATCAATTTCCCTTTATATTTTTTTTCTTAGTTAATTCGTTTAATTTTTCTTTTAAATACTCTTACTAATGTACACCCGGGGAAATAGAAGTGGAGAGATACGCGTAAAACTAGTGCTGCCGATTGTTCGGGTAGTTGAGGGTATAATAGCTTTGTGCGCACCTTCCTCGCGCATCACGCAGTTTCAGATATTTCCCTCCGGGTATACAGTGGAGGAGCGCAGTAGTTGTCGCGACGTAGAGGCGTGACGTGTGCCGATTGATAGAACGACTTTTTATCCATTCGTTTTGTTCTGGAGTAACGTGTTTCGTAATCTTGGAAAACTATAGGTGACAGTCGCTACGTGGAGAGCAACAGAACTACTAGTAGCTGGCATTCTGGGCCACCGTCTACAAAATCATTTAATTCCGTACCGAGTAGCGGAACTCGAGACCCTCGAAATGAACCATCCAGCTGGAGTTCCAGGTCCTCAGAAAATGTAAACAGGTACGTAACCTACGTCTTTTTTACTTCTCTTCGGCAACCTCTTCTAACGGAAGGCATAAGGAAAACATACCCAAACAAATAAATGACACATTACTTCTGCGCTAAATATTTACGATGCTGTTAATTTTCTATATTATCATCTAGACCAGTATTTCTCAAACTATAGTCCGCGAACCCTTGGGGGTCCGCCAACGTGTCGGTGAGCGTCTCAGAAGAAAAATGGAGCATATTATATAGTGGAATAAAAAAATGCTTCCCATAGTATTTTATTAGTATTAAAAACACCTGCTAAAAGGTTTTTTGTTAATAGTAAAAAACAAAACAAAAAAAAAGACTGAAAATAAGAAGCTAGAATATTTGGAACGGCTGAACTATACTTTTTTCATTATTATTTTGTACTTATAACATATCTGTCAGTTTTCACTTTATTTTTGTTCAAAGTAATAAAAGATAGAATATTTGATTGGAATTTTCGTTCGCAATGCGATAGTTTTACATGAAAGCCAATTAACAAAGACCACGAACAGTGGGTCGAAGATGTTCAATAACATGCTTCATTCCTGATAATTTTTAATTTTGGCTTTCGTGGAAATCTTTTAGTTTGGTTAAGTGATTACCTTTTCGATGGATTCCAGGTTGCAAGTGTTAAAAATAATTTATCTAAAAAAAAAATTGAAGCAGTATCTGGTGTTCGTCGAGACTCGTATTTAGAGCCATTGCTTTTTTATAATTTTGTATCAATGATCTTATTGATAATCTAGCCAATGTTAAATACCTACTTTATGCGGACGATCTTAAACTATTTTTTAAAGTTAAACAACATCGAGCAAGTTAATTACTTGAACTGATTTTAATACACTTTCAACATGGTGTGTAAACAATAAACTTGATCCTAATATTTACCAAGTGCCATTATTATAATGATGATCACTTGTAACCGACATAATTTCTATACAGTGCTGGACGAAAGTATTGGCATACTAAAGTTTCTAGGATATAGATGCTTATAATTACGAAACGAATTAAAAGTACAGAGTTTATTTTTCTATAAACATTTGTTTTACATATCCTATTTTATCGCGTAACAAGAATTAATAATATAAATGCAGTGATATAAAATTAATAATTAAAATACATTTTCTAAGCATTATTTAGATGGACAAAAGCTATGGCACACCCAGCTAGTAATATCTTTACATGGTGCTTTCTGATTTGTTTTTCCAGTTCGTGTCGAACATAATTTATTGAATTCATGTCCGAGCTTTACAGTGGGACTTCCGAAGTGTGGACAATTAAGAAACAATACATGCCATATAACTAACATATGATCATTATTTTGTTAAGAAAATTCCATTGGAAAGATTAGTTTTTCCCGTCATTTGAATAATCTTCTTCTGATATATACAAATATATTTATTTAACAATCGTATCGTCGATAAATACGAGTTCTCAGAATCCAGAAGTAGTCACACCATATTACCGCGTCACCTGTGGTGCTATATATCATAACTTGTAAGTTATTCTACCATGTAATTTGAATATATCAAATTTGCGTTCGTCAGAAAATAATATCTTTTCAAGTTCAAGATCATTTTTCTTTTAAATTATCTTATTTAAGTATGGCTCCCATTGGTGCCATACGAACTGAGTATTCTTGGTACAATTTTGAACTAATTTAAATACTCTGTACGGTAAAACAAATTTTCTCCGCTATCTGATTCTTTATTTGACTGATTCATTAAAGTTATGTAAGTTTAATATTATCTTTTACCCTCGATCGTTATTTCTTTCATTTCCCGAAAGTATTCACGTTTTGTTTATTGTTTGAGTGATCGATTAATACGATAATTAGACATCTTTCCAATGAAGTATCGATATAATGTACTTTGTGCTGTGTGCCAATACTTTTGTCCGTCTAGAAAGTGCTTAGAAAACATATTTTTGTTATTATTTTTGTACCACTTTATTTATGTTACTGGTCCTTGTATAATAAATTGGGATGTGTACAATAAAGGTTTATGGAAAAACGAACTTTGTAGTTAAATTTTTTTCGTAGTTATAAGCATTTGTATCCTGAATAGTATGCTGTGCCAATACTTTCGTCTAGCACTGTATACTCGTATACACTCAGTACACCATTAGATTCTATAAATAATATCAGCAATTTAACTTACGATTTAGCTGAAATTTAAATATATCATAGTCATTGTCATTGCTAATATTTAAACGTATATTCAAGAATTTCTAAAAATTTAGAAAATTATTAATTTTGCAACTTTTTTCCAATAAATCATAACTGTTGTACTAACAAAATTGATTAAAATGAGCTTCAATCAATAGATTCCGATATTTTATAAAGCTTTGGTAAAGAAGTTGTTTTGTTACATATATAAACAAATTTTAATGATTAAAAAATGGATATTTGTGGCAGGAGGTGCAATTGCTTCTTTGCACCTCCTCTGGGTGCATCATTGGTTGACAAAATTCAAGTTGCCACTGTTCAATGGACACCACAAGGGTCGTGAGTATTTTTCCATCAGAATAGAATGGGATGACCGAAACGTTAATATTGTTTAAATAAATTAATGTTATATATATTGTTACTTGCGTTATTTTGAATGGATAGCAGAACAAAAACTTATTTAAAAATTTTTATTAATTTCAGATGGAGTAATTCGAGCAGCATGGGAAACACCTTACGTCATCCAGTACCACCGACGTACCAAAGCGGTCCAATTCAGTCTATGGGATTGACAGCGCCCGGAACAACGCCATCGTACGATCGCTTCGATCCATACAAGTCGTCGATGCCAAGCATGAGAAAATATTGATCTTGTCGCTCCGATACAGATTACTGTGACGAATAACAGCGAATTCAATGATACTACGTTTCAAGGCGTATGCGTGTGCACAAGCCACATACGCACGCCGAATTACTACCTACATTCTTGATAAATCAAATCTAAACTATCCACAGGCAGTTTATCGTACGCGCAATCTCGGTTGTAACGGTTACACGCGACGTTTGAGAACTTGAATTCACGAGAAGCGAACCAGTTTTTTAATCCACGAACGAGATCCGTGCGCATGCGTGCGCACATGCTAGAAATCGTTTTTCGGGACACCCCCCCTATTATTCGTTGCATTTTAAGTTTATACCGAATAGATTTTTAATCGTCGCGCGTATCTCTCGCGTAATCGTAGCGATCGTGAGGGCACACGAAACCGTTGAATATTCAGGATAAGACAATTCGAACGAGTCGAAACGGCATTTTCGTTCTCTTGATTTCTTTTTTTACGAGCACAGTTCGACAGTGGTATTAAAAGACATTCAGAAACGTCCACCGTGAAACGCGTTCAAACGGCACGTATTTATTGGTTTTTTCCATGCGCACCCAACTTGCGAAATACATGCAACGCGTACCACGCACGGTATATGCATTACCGAACTGTAATTGATGTTTGTACAGTTGTTAATAGATACGATCGTGTGGTTAGAGATCCTATAGAGGAACGCTCGACGCGGGAGAACATTTTATTCGTTTCGTTTCACCTGCTCGACGAAACGGATTAGATTTGTACGATGCGTTATATGAATCGTTTAACTGCAATTTATTCTGAACGATAATAACGCGCATTCGTTTACATCGATGGACATATTCTTGTAGGACATTAAGGTATCGTATAGAGTCACTCGCAGTTGTATCGCGTACCTTTAACCGATTCTTTATAGAAACACGTACATATTCTGCAAGGATATGACTGAATTTGTATATTGAATTCCATAAGAATTGTATATCTAATGACGAGGAAATTTACGTTCATACGTGAACCACACGTACCACGTTTCAGTGTAGCGACGATTATTACAGCATAAGTAAATTTATGGCATAACAGAACGTTTTCGAAATCCTTTACCAAAGACCTGGCCAAACCGCGCGATACAAAAATATATACAGGGTGTTTAGGGTATGCTAAAATTGATATAAACTTTGGATACGCAGTACTCGTCAATCTTTGACGTGTTTCCTCGTCGAGATTTGCATCTGAATGGAATTAAGAACAAGACAAATGTGTTAAATGTGTCTAAACAGTAGATCAACTATACAGGTTGAGTCAATAAGAATTATTATCTAAAGTATCTTGTTATCTCATTCAGATTTGGTATTTGATATTGATGATATTGAGGTTAATACAGTCCAAGTCTTTATGACGTCGATAGATTTGTCCATTTTATTCACCATTGCAAAGAATTCTTAATGTAATAACTTTTAAATGTAACTGTGATTCCCTGGTTTTCACGGTCGAGGCAAAGAAATTAGCAAATCTGAGACAACGCGCATGCTTGCTCGAATAAACAAGTTTTGTAAGAGGAGATTCCCAAATCATTTGAGAATTTTCCCAATTTTGTGTCAACTTTTGCACATCCTGTATATACAAGTGTAAACCGAAGAAGCGAGTGAATGAAGCACCGCGTGTGAGTGCGTTGTTGCGCGACAAATGATCGAAAAGTGGAAGAAAAAGAGTGTGTCCGATGGTAGGGAACACTTTCCCTTGGCCGAGCATAGTCAGGGATGGCGCCAGCCAGAGGAAGAAAGGTGAGAAGGAAAAGAGAAGCGGAGAGAGTGAGGGGAACAAACAAGTCCGTCGAAAGCAAAGTGTGTCGAGGTCTTTTCACGGACAGTCATCGCGCGACCGAGGTTTTGCCCTGTGCAACCACTATTGCACGATTCGGACGCTTCCTTTGCTTGAATCTTTTTTTTTTTTTTTTCATCGGTTCCCTCTCCTGCTTCCGCCCCGCTCCTACACACCAACCTCGGCCGCTCGTACCTCTTTCTCCCTCTATCCGTTTCCCTATCTCTATCTCCCTGTCGAGGCTCAATAGACGATGGACAATTCGTCGGTACTCTCGCGGGCGCGACAAGTCTATTGAAATAGTTCCGCCGCGTATCTCGTCGCGGGTATCAGGTGTGGTGGCAGCAGAAGCACCTGGAATGTCTGTGCAAAGGAATCGTTGACTTTTTTACTCGGTCAGCAGGATGTCGCCGTCCATTGTTTTTTTCGGTAAGTGATTTGTCACCGACCATTCGAAAGAAACCGTAAACGTATCGGTTGATGTACGATCCAAGAGCGCTTTCGTTTCACTAAATTCGAATTCAAACGGTTGCCTTTTGCGCGCGGAAACACACTTCACCGCCAACCTTGAACAAATCGTGGACATTAATAAAAATATCAATGTATTTATTTTGATGGTCGGTTGTCGCTGACACAGGATTATCACGTTATTAATCCGAACGGAGAGATTGCAAATGACATTGGACCCGCACGATGCGGGCTAAATGACGTTCGCGCGATCACGTGGACGCTTACCTACGAAGCGCTAAGATTGAGTACGAAAGTGTGACAAACTATTAAAAAAAATAAACGTTGAAAAAGTGACGAGTATATTGGATTCCAAAAATTAGACTGGGTTCGTCGAAATCTTCCTAATTCCCACGGCCGTGAGGTTTTTTTCAAGAAGACGATGATCCATGGATCTCATGGTGTGGCGCATAACGTTCGACGGAGAAATTCATTCTCGCGTGTTTACGATCGAATCCCCCCATACAATTGCAATTATCTCCCGTGGAATCGGAACGATCCTCTTCGTTCCTCGAACGACCGAAAGACAAACAATCTTTAGCTCATTTCTCACCGCGGTACGGTCGAGCAAGTATCGTCGATGAATCAGTGAACGGAAGAAAGGCGCGCTTTCTCGTCGAGCAACTTTCACCGTCGATGAAGTCCGTGTACATTAACTTATTCCGAAAAGGCCTCCTTCAACGCCGGGCCACGTTACTTCGAACCCGACACGTCCCCTCCTTCGCCTCCTTTCCCCCCATTTTGCGTCGCTTTGTTTTCCCCCCGAGGGGCCAGTTTGGCACTTTGAGCTGAAAAATTATGATTTCTTTTAATACGTCGATCACCCGACCAAAACAGTAAAATTTTTGTTTCGTCTCACTGGACAAAGTATATTTAACGTTAATGTTTCGACGTAGCGTCTAATCGCCGAAAGAAAAGAAAAAGCTAATCGCAACTATTCCACGTGATGATGATACGTATACATCGCTAGCCAAAAGCAACGAGAGGAAAGTTATTGCGTACGTTGCTTTCGAATGACCGATTGTCACGTTTCAGCAATCATCGTTGCTCGTAACTCGAAACAATACGATTTCGGACACGTGTTCGCAAACATCCGGATTCACAAGATCGAGATCGTTCCACGCCCACGCATACCGATCGCGTCCAAATATATTAAGGTTAGCCTGTAACAGTTTCCGGCGTTCGTAGTAGTGTTTTTCTTATGTAGGAGGGCGTGATCACTTAGGAAGGGTGCGAACAGTTGCTAGCTTGTATACTTTTCCCAGAAGCCAATAGTAACGTGGGTTACAAAGCACGTTTCTCAAATAGTTTGAGGATATTTGATTCGTAGAAAGGTCAACGAGCACGACTCAACATACTCAACGTCGGTGGATACGTGAAATGCGAGAAATTTCACTCGCGGCTCCGTTACACTTCCAATTCAATTTCACGAAGAATCGAGCTACCTTCTCGTACGATTCCAACACGCTTTTCATATCAATTTTGCTCAGGCTTACGAGTAAAACTCGGGAAATCGTGTTAATAGGTCGGTACAGGAGCAAACTGCCGTGAATCGCGCTCGTAAGGTTGAGTTTGCCAACCACCACGTGGCCGTTCGCAAAACTTTCGAGTTTTCGTTCTTACGAGCGACGTCATCGTCGATCGTTTCTCAGAAGATTCGAAAGCTAACTTCTTCGGCGTAAACTGTTGGCAATATTGCATAACGATTGCCGTGTATGCTTTGAAAGAGTGCTCGTCGGATGCTGTTTGGTAGGAATCATGACGCGGTACGTCAAACGTTATCGGTAGGTCGTTCCCGCGAATTCTTGCGACATAGCTAGAGGGCGTTGTGACTCGAGGCGCTAATTCATACTAACTCGGTATATTACAAAGTAAGTATGCAAAGAAATTTGTTCGGCTCTTAAACAAACAGATTTAGTGTAAATATTAAATCTGGACTGCAAAAATTCAGAGAGGATATCATCGATGAGAAAATAACAAGCGTGTGGCATAAGAGGTAACGAGTCGATAAACAATGACCAAAGATGCTGTCGTTTTTAATAACCGATCACGTTGTATATCTTACTTACGCTATAGTTGGGATAATTTTGATTTTAAAAAATATATTTGATGCACTCTGTACGAATGTTACAGAACTGTACATGATATGGAGCCTGTTGACGAGTTGCTGGTCTTACACCGACCAAGTTACGCGCTATCGCTACCGTAAGTAAAGGGAATGCGACGATATGTTTCTATAATCGAAAGTAACACTGACTTCTAAAAGAACTCGTACGTACTGACCCAAATATGTAGACTCTCTTTGACTTCCGATTACTAGATTGTGGTTGGATGCACAAACTAAACGGCAACAAGTCCAGCGTATTTGCGATAGTATCAACAAGTTGTTTTTACAGTTAGTGTACAGCACAGACGAAGCTATGCAACCGTACAAAAACTACGGGCATCGATATCTTTCGTTCGTAGTCTATCCAAAGGGGGTCAGGATTACTTGTTTTGTCATTTGTTATAATGCTCATGTAACGATTAGTTAACGATCCCGAGGGCGTTTGTATATTTCTCCATTTTGAATACATATTTATGCACGCGTGTATGTAACGATCACGTTACGTATGCGTTCGTGGTGTTGATTTTCAGAAACGAGATATGGAATGACAAGCTCTCCAGGTTTCGTGGCACCGATTCGTGGATGGGCCGAAACGGAAGCGTGGCCCGTGTTTGCAGACGGGCCGCGGAGATCAGCCACCGGAATCTTTCGAAGGGACACGCAAATACGACCTTCTTACGTGAAGCTAGCGAAAGTGGAGCAACGAGTCGAACCGGACCCGTTGATCGCGATCAGCGAGACTTTGGGCGCTTTGAACACTGTCGGCAGTTACATCGTCAATATGACCAGGGGCGTGGAGAACTCGAACTACCCCCCTAAAGAGTTGCCATCGGCAATATACACAATCTCTAAAAACATTCTAGGTACAACTTGTACGATGTCTCTACTAGCATCGTCTCTTCTTCCATTTTATTTTTGTACTCATATGTTTTTGTATTTCCAGGACGCAACGTAACGGACAGTATAGCACCGCTGGTACGCGGGGTGACTCTGCCTTTGAGAGCTACACCCAATGCTGCATCCAATCCGGATCGTACTTCTTTGACTCCGAATCCGAATCCGACTCCGACTCAGTCTACCGCTGAGGTCATCGTCGATCGAGAAAAGGAACCCTCGCAGGTGTCATCAGGCTGTACCACGGCTGATGGTACGCCTGGAAAGTGTCAAGACCTGAGCAACTGCCCTCAGCTTCTTCTGGACCTGACCAAACTCAGACAATCGTTATGTTTCAAAAGCTTATTCGTACCGGGGGTCTGCTGTCCGTTGAGCGACAAACCTGACACCGCGAGGTAACCATTGCCAGGCCCTATTACAAGGATGAGATCTTTTACGTGTATCTATTAATATGAACGATTTTTCAGCATTGCACCTGGCATAATTCCAGCCGCTGGAATCGTGTCTGGGGTGCACTCCCCGAGACCACCGATCCGCCCAACAAAACCGCAGACACCTCGTCCAATTCCGCTGTTCCCCGTTGCGTCCACGACGACAACAGGTCCTGCGAGCGTTCCAGTGCCGGATCTGTCGTCCAACGAGTCGAACGGCTTCACCGAGCCAACCATCGGCACCATTGACAACAATTTCATTCAGGACGATGAGGGTAAATCACGAAAATGATAGGAGTAACATTTTAATAACTCAGACGCAAAGATCTTTAATTATGGAACAAAATATAGAATGTTGCTCCAAAAGGTTGTCTGATTTGGAGGGTATGGCGTGGAATTATCCACTAATTGTTGGTGAAATTTATGACACACGACGTGTATTATATTCTTCAGAGTGTGGAGTGAGAAACTCGGGTAAGTATCGTGTGGTCGGAGGCGAGGAAGCTCTGCCAGGACGTTGGCCTTGGATGGCAGCGATATTCCTCCACGGCTCCAAACGCACCGAGTTCTGGTGCGGCGGTTCCTTGATCGGTCCGCGACACATCCTCACCGCGGCTCACTGCACGCGCGATCAGCGACAACGGCCGTAAGTTGCTCGTTCGTAAGTAAATTTTGGTGAATTATATACCGTGTCGATTTCAACTGCCTTGGACTATAAATCAGCTTGACATTGATAACAATTTAAAAACTGCATACTCGTTGTCCGTAATGGTCTCCTCCTCCCGCTCGACGTGCTTCAAGGTCGTTGAAATCGATGAGGTCGTCGACACGGTACATAATTGCCGTAAATTTCTTCCGGCTACCAGCTCGAAAGCAGACAGAGTGGTTTTCAACGTTTGCGCAGATTCGCGGCGAGACAGTTCACCGTGAGACTGGGGGACATAGATCTCGAGAGGGACGACGAACCGTCCGCCCCTGAGACCTACACGGTCAAGCAAATTCACGCTCATCCGAAATTCTCGCGGGTTGGATTTTACAATGACATCGCGGTCCTCGAGCTGACCAGGCCGGTCAGGAAATCACCGTACGTGATACCAATTTGCATGCCGCAGTCGCGTTACCGAAACGAGAGATTCGCAGGTGCCAGGCCCACCGTAGTTGGATGGGGCACCACTTATTATGGTGAGCGTGCTGAGTATTGATTAAAGTTATTTTAGGATCCTATAAGTATTCGTGATGGAACAACAAGACTACACTTAATGGACCAAATTATAAGACAATCTGAGAATTACTTGTATACGGACTTGATATTGTATTTATTGGTAATTTATCATTGCGACAAAATGTTGTATGTACGGTCACGTAAATCGTATCCTTCATCGATAGGAGGCAAGGAGAGTACCGTGCAACGACAAGCGGTGCTTCCGGTGTGGAGAAACGAAGATTGCAACGCGGCTTACTTTCAGCCAATAACGAGCAACTTTCTGTGCGCCGGTTACAGCCAAGGCGGTAAAGACGCTTGCCAAGGCGATTCCGGTGGACCGTTGATGCTCAGGGCCGACAGCCGATGGATTCAGATCGGTATAGTTTCCTTTGGAAACAAGTGTGGGGAGCCAGGATATCCGGGAGTTTATACGCGCGTCACCGAATACACCGATTGGATAAAAAGTAATTTAAAGTGATCGCGAAACGCGTCAGTGGACACCCTACTTTCCATATTCTCATTGATAAAGCAACGATGTGCTCCACAGATTTTTCAAATAATTTCTTTTAGTTGAAGTTAGAGAAAGAACCTTCCTTTTTTAATTGTCTGGTTATACTACATAAAAAAGAGTATTACAACTATGTTCTATTATAAATATGATGGTAGAGACTGTTTTCACTCTGTTTCCTGGAAATGTTAACGACAGATACTTTTATGTCGTTTTCTGTGGTAATTTTATTGTTCGTTTCGTTTATTCTTTTTAACCCTCGTTAAAACAAATGCAAGGTCATTTTGAACCAGATAAAAACTCTATCTAACTCGAGGGTGTTATTACAGCGTGTTAGACAGCTCGTTTGTTACATTTGTAAATATGTGTGCCAAGGATTGTTATTTATATTTCATATTATACATATTTGTGTACATGCCTACATATTCGGAATTAGCAATAACACGCGTATACACGCATCTGGGTTACAAAAAATTCGAAATATAATATTACCCTTTCTACGCAAATGAAGATGGCATTATATTTGATATACAATATTAATAAATGAATTTTTGTTACTTATATGCAAGATATGTATATCTACTCATCAGGGTTGGGCAAATTTTATTCACAAATAGCGAATAAGAATTTTAGATTAACTTGTAAACTGATATTTTTCAACGGTTTCATTTGCCTGGATGCAGGTTTAAAAAAATCTGTTTAAAATTTGCTCAACTCTGTTACCTACCTATCTATAATATATATATCGCAATTAATCGATCTGTACGTCGACTGTTTCGACTCGAATAATCTAACTATCGGTTCATTCGTTCGATTCGTTCGTTAATCCATTCGTCTTCTACTTATCAAAATTATGACACCGCGTGTCACAATATGTGACGTTAAATTCTCTTATGCTGAACGTGTAGATAAATTGTCCAGTCCGTTTGGTCCTTGGCCAACGAAGGTTTCGATGTTTCGAAAATGAAAACTCAAAGTGTTTCGGTTCAAAATTTAGAAAATGTCGTGAAGCAAATGGTGCACGAGGCGCTGGAAGATAACGGTTAGTCTAGCGAATAATATTACACACTATCGATTCTTTAAAATTATATGTTCGAATGCAGAGCAAGTGATCAAGTTTCATCGAATGATTTACGAGGAATGGTATTTTAAAAAATTATCCAACTCAAAAGATACGGAGATTCGGAATGAAACACAACCGCTCGAAGATAACGAACAAGTTCGTTCGTATTGTGTAGCTTCTACAATGTAGGGTGCTTTATAAGTCCTGGGATTTTCATCGATTATTTTCAGAGTATATCGGCAACGGTTGCACATCGTAGATCGCGACGATACAAATACAAACATCAAGGGAGTCGATCTTCAACAAATATTGACTCAACAAGAAACAAAATCGTGACAGATAATTCTTTGATAGATAAAAAGTCTTTGAACATCATCAAGGATGTTTCGATCGACGAAAAGATCGATGTAGTTTCGAACAATTCCGTCGAAGTAACATCTCGATTGTCTCTATATCGTTCGCGTTAATATTCGCGAAATGTATAGACCCAGGTATTTTTTCCAGCAATTGGATGAAATTGTCGACCATGAAAATGATACAAGAGTTATTGAAATTTGGAATAACTCGTTCAGCCGTCCTAACCAATCAAGAAACAAGACTGACAACGCCTTCAAGGAAACCCGCGTACACTGCCCCGACAATAGGTTGTTGTATCGTTGCAAAATGAACGAGTATAGTATTTATTTAACACGGATCGATTGTTTTAGACCATCGAGGGAGCAACGGATCAAAAAACTAATATCCTTCGAAGCTTGGAAGGAAAAGAAGACCATACAGTATCGACAAACACTTAAAAAGCAACAATACGAAAAGCAACAACAACTGCTTGCAAATCTGGAAAACATGGAGCGAAGAAAAATCGCTCTGCAGGTACCCGTTGTTGGTTAATAAAATTTTCTAAAGATGTATGATATTTCACTATCTTCGTATCAAGGAACAAGCGCGTAAAAGGCAGCAACAAAAATATCAGCGAAATCAAAAACAATCAAAGAAATATCTCGACGCAATTAAACGAACAAATGTTACTGTCGAATCTAATAATGAATCTACTGTCAAACCTACCGCGTTGGAAGAACAGAAAGACACGAAATTGAATAACGATAGAAAGACGAGCTTGATAACGCGGTAACACATTCTAAATTAATTTCACACGATTTCCTACCGAAAAGGAAAAAAGACAAAATCATTTAAAACTTTCCAGAAGACTGAATAATATAATGAATAATCGAAAGGACATGATATCGTCGATGCAATATTTAGAAGGTGTTACATTTGATTCCTGGTTAAATCAATTGAACTGGGTTCTGCACCAAAAGTATTTACGCGAACGACGCCATCTTGTACGGTCGTTCTACTGCCAACCCGTTTACTATGGAGACACGAGTTTATGCGCGAGATGAGTATTATACACACATTTTCCCTAGACTACTAAACTGTAAACGTTTACCATGCAGCGTAATAAAATACCTTGTTCACCCGATCGTAATACGATATGTCTTCAACCGTCTTCACCGAAAAATGGTCAATATCTGGGATTTCTTAAACGATTGACAAAACGCCAGCACTTTAAAGGAATAAGACGGATTTTACAACAAGTCTTACGCTTTACTTTTACATTATTAACACATTGAGATAATCCTAGTTGATATCTTGATCAATTTTTAAAACTTTAACTTACTATTTTAAAATCTTAAATTCTAAGGGGAGGAAAATAGATCGATTTTGTTTGCCCGAGACATGAGAAAACCGTCTTGGGTGTTCATCGAGTGTGACTAGATAATGCAATTTTAAATATTTCTGCGTTCGGTTAAATTTAGGTTTTTTCTTTGTCGCTTTCCTTTAAATTGTTTATTGCCTTTTGGACTAAAACTCCCAAATTTTTCGGAAGACTCATTTGTATGGTATGTAACTGTTGCATGACATGACTTTCCGAAGAGGGAACGTCATCTGTCGTATTGACATCGCACGTTACGACATTACATCCTTCGACGTTGTCCACGCTACAGCCAGGCGTTTGTACCAACTCGGTGCAATCTTTCTCGCCCACTAAAATTACGATAATAAATGTATTACATAAAAAAAAGTGCAATTACACGCAAGGTGTCTTTACTTACACCTTGCATCGACGTTCGAGCTCGTGTATCCTTCCAACAATTTCATTGTCGGCGATTCTACCGCGCTGTCCAATTCGCATATTCTTAACGCCAATATTCTACAATCAACATACACAATTAAATACACGTACGACGTTTAAATACGGAAAAAGTTAAGGTGTACATTACTGACTTGTTTGCTTTCTTTTGATGTACCAAAGCTAATGTTTTATCGTTTAGTGCTTCCAGTAAGGCTATGCACAGACATCGCAAGTCGGACATCGCTGCTGCGGATTTTTGAGGTGGTATATGAGAATCATGATGCAACAACTGTTCTACTAAAGAATAGATAGACACATATTTGTTTAACAAAGCAATACCACAGGAATATCACAAATCTACCAACATACCTTGTTTATGGGTCATGATTGTGCCAGCTGCAGTATTTGCACCTAGTTTTATAGATCCTTTCACTCTTTTGCTATCCAGCATACTCTAAAAACATCATTTTTTCTCATCTAGTATGATAACATAGTATAATTAACCAATATACCTAGAACATCATATGTATTATGTATTGTTACTTTGTATTTTGAAAGAGATTGCCTTGCTAGCTCCTTTTCCTCCAGCAACTGCTGCAATCTGTCTTGAAGATACCTAATGGGTTACAATACTAGTTTTAGATCTATTCTTGCACAAAAATATCATCAATAAAGTATCCTCCTCTTTACCTGTTCTCATTGATAAGGGCATCTAGATCCACTGGTTTAGATGCATTTAATGCTTTTGATAATTCATGGTTCAAACGGTGTGCTTTGCATTTGAAAGCATCCCTTTCCATCTCCAGCTCATGCTTCTCATCTAAAACTGCCTGCAAGTCTGTTTGCAATTGGGTACACTGGGGGAAACAATAACTTCATAAAAACTAGTTAAACTATAAAATTTACTGTGCTCAAATTAATCAAAATCACCTTAATGTTCAATTTCTCTAACTGTTCTATCATCTCCTCTCTTTGATGAACAGCAGGAGCACACTGAGCTTGTGTTTCTGAACAAATTCGAGTACCATTTGCACGAAGTGCTTTAACATCCCCTTGAGCATCCCCTAATTTTTGTCTCAGTGTTTCCACTTGTAGCCTGAGACATTTATTCTGTTCCTGTGTCTCTGTTAGTAAATCCAAGGTCTTGAAGTAGTCCTCCAGACTGTAACATCTACAAATTAAAATTTACAATAGCAAATGTGTCTATGTAAATTTGAATGGTAACAATTTTGTTAACACCCTACCCTTTTGATTCCTGTATGTCATTTATTTGCCTCTTCAACTGTATAAATCTTTCTTGCATTTGCTCTGTCATCAATTTAAACTGATCCCTTTGCAATCTACATTGAACCAATTCTCGATGCAGAGACATAAGTTCTTCCGATTTCATTTGCAATCGCTTCGTCAACATTTCCTGCAAATCCATTCAATTTCAAATACACAAATGCTACGACCATTTTATCAAATTTACGAACATTCCAAATAACCCACTTTTGACGTGAAATTATCTTGATCCCCTGCCATTTTATCGTTTAAAGTCTCTCCGTTCATTTCGTAAGCCATAATTAAATAAAGAAGTATGGATTTAAAGGCGGAACGAATTTGTATCGTTTAGTTCTTTTTCCCATTCGGAAAACGTAAACGTTCACTTGCACTTTATTTACTTAACCGTTGCAACTTGCAACACTTTACAATACTTGTGTAGGTTTTTCAATTATGTTTGGAAACAAACATGATCGCAAAAGCAATTCTCAGTTTATTCCAACAATAATCGGACCCTTATACCTAGTCGCTATTTAATACACTAATGTTGTATTAGTTTTTGGATAGAGCATTTCGAATTTTTATTAATTATACACATTTTCGTTTTGTTTTGCCGCAGCACCTTAAGTTTGTAATAAATTACGAAATATATTACGTTCGTAGACGTATGGCGTATACACACAGATGTACACTACTTCCTCGCACTTACAAACGTGATCGAAGATAATAAAGTTAACCAAAAAGTACCGTTTGGCGATACAAATTTATGTCCCTTCAATTTCATATGAATCCCGTTTACGTGAAACTTTATGACTAAAACATACTGCATTTACGATAGTTAAATCATGGAGAAGGAAGGTAATACTTTTGTATTAATTCGCGAAGTTAAATTAATAAGTAAACAAATCTGTCACAGTTTTATCATTCCAGAGATCTGTCAGTATTTCAACAACATTATTAAATTTGAAAAGGATATTTCCGCTGGAATGGCTGCTATTCGTACATTACTTAAAGTTTTAGAATACTCAAAATGTAAGCATGCTTTGGTAAACTTTTAAACAGACATATATTTGTTCAAAATGACGTAACATTGCATTCAATTACAGCTGAAACGGTTCAAGAGCTTAGATATTGTCTGCAAAATGCTATAGATGCAATGAGATCTACAGAAAATCCTGTAACAGCCATTGCATCTGGCAGTGAATTGTTCCTTCGTTTCATAACCTTGGCTACATTAGATACACCGGTAAGAGCATTCTTACATTGTCTATCAGAAGCAACATTCTATAATTTATTTACTTTAGTAAAGATCTCGTGAAATATATTACTCAATGGTCTGGATTATTAGTCATTTGCAGAATGCAAAAGGATTATGCTTCACAGAGGGAAAATGTTTTATGAAAAATTAGTGGCTGCCAGAGGAAAGGTAGCCAAAGTAGCAGCACATTTTATTACAGATGGTTCAGTAAGTTTCCTTTATTCTGTTAACATTCTTTAAAGTTTTTTTTTAACTGTCTCTAATTTCATGGTATATTCTAGAAAATACTTACTCACTCAAAATCTAGAGTTGTGCTGCAAGCAATGAAAGAGGCTGCTGAGAGTAATAAAATATTCAAAGTATATGTAACAAATTCTGCACCAAATAATAGCGGGTATGACTTCTTCGTGTGCTCTTAATTTTTCATAAAATGCTCTTAACATTCCGAGTCTGTCGCTCGAGCGCTTGGGCCCGCGAAAACTTCTTTTAAATTGCGCAATGTTTAATGCATTTAAATTATATATCGAGTTCAATGGTAACATCATAAAATATAAAATATTTTTACATGCTGTTGGCGCCGGCGCTCAATGCGTTATGTTTAAAACTTTTGAGACTGAAATCTCAAATCATTTCAAACACTATTTGATACCAGAAGGTTTTGAGTCTAATTGGTCTTGAAACTTTCAATTCGGTTTTGAGTCCGCCGTTATTCGTATGTATATTTTCTTTATATGGTTAGACAAGAAATGTGCGAGGACCTCACTAAGTTGGGTGTATCATGCACTTTGATATTAGATTGTGCAATGGGATATGTCATGGAACAAGTTGATATGGTGATGGTTGGAGCTGAAGGTGTTGCAGAAAGTGGTGGTGTAATTAATAAGGTATACAATACGTATACACGGTATTTAAATTGTACGTGAGATCGATCGTTAATGCCTTTTCGCTCTAGGTTGGCACATATACAATGGCCATGTGCGCCAAAGAGGTGAAGAAGCCTTTCTATGTTCTAACAGAGAGCTTTAAATTTTCTAGAATATACCCGTTAAATCAAGTTGATCTACCAAATGAATTTAAGGTAAAACTAAATGTGCTTCTTTGTACGACTAAAAAATTAAACAAAATAAAAGCAGAATGTTTTCTTTGCAGTATACAGCAAGCACATTAAAAAAAGATTTACAAAAGGAACACCCATTAGTTGATTACACGCCCCCGCATTACATCAGTTTGTTATTTACCGATTTAGGCATTTTGACTCCATCGGCGGTCAGCGACGAACTTATAAAATTATATTTGTAAAACATCTATACGCTAATTAAAATTATTACTACTTTTTAAAAAAAAAAATGAAATTGTTTTTACTATAGTTTAGTGGGACTCCTGTGGTTCGCGGCGGAGGAATTCGTCAGGTCTGTTCTAAACTAAGCCTAGGAAACTTCCGAGATAATATACCAACAATTTTATTAATTTTTAAAATAATATCGAGTATTTGAAAATGACAGCACACATCATTCTTGCTGAATTTCATTGTTCATTAAACTGTGATTAAAAATAACAAGAAACAAAGCATATAATCAATTCTATTATACAATATAAGAGTTCAATTGTTTCGAATATTGTTAAGTTTCTCTCAACTTATCGGAAATCAACTAATACATTTTACTTAAGCGTACGTACATACTACACACGTATACATTTCATTTTTTACACGTGGTTATATTATGTTGTAAATTTTAAAAGTTAAATATGTTGTATATTGCACAGCAATAATTAACGCAGTAAAATAAGCAGGCGATTTCTCATAATCGCGATTCTCGCCAATAAAAATGAAATAAAATATTCTAAAATCTTAAAATGTGTAAGGAGTGACGACACTCCTTGAAAGTTTTAAACGCTATTACGAATATAAACAATCTTTAAAACTTTCGTATTCATTGTCTTTGACTAAAGTTTGATACAGTATAGCGAATCAATTGATATATACTTGTCATTTTTTTTTTTTTTTTTTTTTACATTGCTTTGCACAAACATTGCACGATGATATACAAATTAATAGAATACATATACATATCTTACGGTAATATTAAGATTCGCGTGACAATAACTATATCCATTTACATTTTTACGGTGTTTCTGTATCTACGTATCCAAATAAACGAAAGTCCACATTATAACATCTTTAATTTCAGTGGTACATACTACGTTTGCTATGTAGCAAGCGAAAATGAATCGTTATGGACGGATAAATAATTTAAGAAATGTGAATGTAACATTACTAATAAGAGACAGAAAGGACACGAACAGTAGAACATGTATGAACATGAAACATAATACGATAATACATTATATATAATGTACATAATATGATATACATGATATATAAATACACTGTAAAAATGAAATACCATTTTGAAAATCTCGTGTCTCCCAAGCTCTATTCACATTTGAGATTTCATTTCGGTTGAATATAATACGTTTTAAAGATTGAAAACAATCAGTTTACCCTGGAATGCCAGCATAGGAAAGAAATACATATGCCCAAAAAAAAGGGGGAAAAAACAATGGCAAGTCGTAAAGGAATATCATGGTTGCGCGAAGAAAGCTGCGTGATCATCGATCATTTTAAATGCTGCTCTTACGGTTTATTTCGTTTTAAAAGTTCTAAAAAATTCTAAACTCGAAAAGTGTAGTTATTACCTTAACGGGTTGGCATCGCAGGGTTGATCTTAATTCTTTACAAATACGCTTGAGACAGTGTCTCGACGACGGTGTAAATCTGATCGAAATGGGGACGTTTCTCTGGCTCGTACTCCCAGCATCGTAACATTAAACGGTATATTTCGTCGGGCGTGTTCTCTGGAGCTGGCATTCGGTAACCTGAAGACACATTGTTATTTAAATACAAAATAAAATGATACAAATCTAAAAAATGGTATAACATTGTCGTTGGAAAATAAACGTCACCTGCGTCTATCTTCTCGCGAGCCTGAGAATTGGACATACCACTGTAGGGATTTCCACCCTTAGAAAATATTTCCCACATTAAGACTCCGTAACTCCAAACATCACACAGTGATGTATATTTACCTGTAGTAAGCATCGTGATTACAAATAATATTCCACAAATGTTTATGCTATAAAATATTCTCCGATAATACCAAAATTCAATGCCTCCGGCGCGGTCCACTTGATTGGAATCTGCTTCATGCCGTCTGAAACTATGTATTCTTCTTCTTCCCGTGACATACCGAAGTCAGAAATTTTTACTATGGACTCGTATCCTGAAATTCGACACACTGTTCGTTTCATGTTTGTCCTCGCGTTAGGAAATACATATTTGCCTTAGGAAAACTAGTATATTTCATTCTTTGTCACCACAAATGAAAATACGCTACTTTTCATAACGCGTATCGATATGTCCGTTATAACAAAGTTCATTTACCTACGAGACAATTTCGGGCTGCCAAGTCTCTATGGATACAGTATTTAGATTCCAAATAACGCATACCTGCCGCTGCATCTTTGCACATGCGAAGCTGTTCTTGTTGCGTAATGGTACTAGCACTTTTTCTTAAATAAGTTAACAAGGAACCACCTATCGTACGTGTTGATTCCATGTTAATAAACAACAATGTTCCACGATAAAAAAAAAAAAATTATAAATTAATAATATTAAGCGTGTTAACATACCAGGCACCAATTCCATAACGATCATAATAGGTTGCTTTTGAACACAAATCCCAATAAGTTTTACTATGTTCGGGTGATCGTATTGCTTTAATATTCGTCCCTCTTGTAAGAATTTGCGCTTTTGTTCGTCCGGTAATGTTACTTTGCAGGTTTTTACAGCTACTTCAGTCTTACAAGTTTTAAGTTGTGCTTTATATACATCTCCAAAGTTACCCTAAAAACGCGTAATATAATTTAAAGCTTTCGCAGTCGTTATCCATTAATATGCTTAAGAAATTTAAATGGTTTTTATCTATAAAATTTATTATACCCGTCCTATTTTTTCTAGAAGATTTACATCATCGTTATTTAGTTCCCATCGTTCGCGTATAATTGGTGTTTTGAGAATAGCTCCAGATCGACTAGTTACGGGTGTTCCAGACAGCCATTGATGGCTGATTAACTCTTGAATTGACGGGAATGTAGGACCTTCGAATCTATAATGTCCCTGGAATTGATACGAAAACACCTGTTATGTGTCATCATCATACATTGTTGCACGATCATTAGCTGAAACACCTGCTTACTTCATTTGTTGTCTGTACAATAAAATGCTTATGTCCGTCCCAACAGACGGATAAAACTATTTGGCACTCGTCGTTCCTTGTCGTTTCGCGTACTAAAAAATCACCTTCGTTCACAAGTAATCTCACTACTTCCTCCCTTGGTAGCACACCATGGAACCATTCCTCCTCCATAAGATCGCCATTTCCTTTTTGATTAGTCGTTAAATTCGAAATTCCACGTAACGGTGCCTACAATGATTTTTGTATATTTCGAACGATCAAAATTACTATTAATCGTGACTATTAACTAACAAACGAATTTGTCCTTTTATAAATCCGTTCAAGTACTATCACACAGATGTTAGCTTTAAAATAATCAAACTCGATCAATTCGTATAAAACAAACATGCTCAATGTTAATAGCGACAATCTAATAATAATACTGATAATAGTAAGAAGAACGTATGCGAATTACTGCCAGCCTTTTTAAATCTTTTATATACATTCTCTTAAAACCCTATGACGTTATAGTGAAAATAGAAGCAGTATGTTCAAGCCGATATGCAATAGAACATATTTATGTGTACAACAAACGGATAGTATATATGGAAAAACATACAACTGTTAAAGTATTATCTGTTTTTGAAGTAGGACCTTCGCTACTCGATCTAATCGTTCCATCTTTCGTATCGTTTATCATCGGTAAAGATTTGAAGGGAGACCTAAATATTGTCATGAACCGTTGATTTCTTCGTAATGTAAATAGACCGATATCTGCAACTGTACTTTTCTGGAAGGGCAGTGGTACTAACTAATATTAATCCTCCAGATCAGACAAATGTTATAAAATATTGAAAGATTTTACAATTCAAAATCATTCACAGTATGGGTATATGAAAATAATACAGGGTGTTCGGCCACCTCTGAGAAAAATTTTATTGGAAAATTCTAGAGGCCAAAATAAGACGAAAATCAAGAATATCAATTTCTTGATCGAGGCTTCGTTAAAAAGTTATTAACAAAATTAAATTAAAAAATTTCAAATCGTTCTGGAAAAATTATTTTCGATTGTGGGGGTCAATTACAATCATTTTTGGTGAATAGACATACCCCCGAAATCCTGCGCGTTTTCGAGAAAAAAATTCAGTACGGGCGGAACTTCAAACGTTAATAACTTCTTAACGAAGCCTCCATCAACAAATTGGTATTCTTGATTTTCGTTTTATTTCGGCCTCTAGAATCTCCCATTAAAATTTTTATAAATTATTATATATATATATATATGTATATTATATCTATAGTAACATTGAACTTTTTTTAATTAACCGATATTAGTCTAATTACCTTACTATTAGCTGGCGAATCAGTGAAAGAAGTCTCCATGGAAAGATCGTATCCCAGCGGTAATTCTTCGCAACCCAACTCATTCAAAGCGGCTCTAATAACATCCACTTGTCGTTGAAGCTTTTTTTCCTGACAACGTAAACGTAATTCTTCTCTCTCGCGGGAGTAATCCAAAATTGATACCCTAATGCCATTAAAAAGGTAGTCGTATTTAAACACATATAACGGAGAGAGAATGTACAGCGAAGATATTTAGTTTTATAGTAATATTCTTACTTAGAATCGCTATTATTTTCTGACGGATACTGAGAATTTTGTCGACTCTGCTGAGTCGTTTTCAAAGAGGTCTCCAGTTCAGTTAATCGATTTCGTAACCAGTCTATTGTCAGATTATCTACCGTCAATTTATTTGGCAACAATTTTCCCGAAGTATCGTCTACAAGGTTCTCGTCGAATGTGAATCTTATCGGCGATGCTGGTTGCGTTCTGCATCGATCGTTACCAAATTTATACTATCATTTCAAGTGATTTACAGCGGACAAAAGCAAGTTTTCAACAAGTACCTATGCTTTCCTATAAAGTCTCTATATTCTTCTACAGGTTTCACCAAATCTACAGCCTTCTGCATACGCAGATGTAGCTCTTGAAACTTATCATTCGTAAAACCAGAATACTTCACTATATCTTGAAGTATGGCTTTCCTACCATACAAAAAACAATATTATCAATTTATAATGTAATCATCATTATTACCATAATGACCATCGTTGACATTTACCTTGTACGTAACTATGTGCTTGCATAAAGATTTTACACAAATTAGATTAGCGATCTACGATGCAAAAGTACGAAATACATCATAAATTTTTCCAAGCACAAATACAAATATGCTTACCATGACGTTATAAGGTCTTGATGAATTGCTTGTTGTCGGTGAAGCAGACTTGGCAAGTAGCACGTCCTTAAATCGAGTTCGCACTCTGTTACAGCACCCAAAAGTAACACGTACTCGTTGTGTGTAAGATGAAGTTTTCTACAGGCTTTTTGATACTTTTCCCGTACTTCGTCCAATTTCCTGCCGCCTCTACCAGCTAGCGAATACAATAAGCAGAATAACATAATACAACAAGCAGTTACAAATGAATAATTTAAATGCTTACATTTAACATAATGTTCCTCGAAGCGGGACCTCATTAACTTATACAGTTCCAAATTCTTCTGATATTCCAATTTTTTTCTGGTAACATCATCTGTTAACTAAAGCATACAATAAAAATATGACACCTAATAATACATATAACAGTTCTATCCTGTTATTTCATATTATTTCATGTACCTGTTGGAACTGATTATTCAGCCATGTTTGCTCCTCCTGATACAATTTCCTAGCCCTTCTTCTTTCAGAACACAGTGTCATAATATGTTCAACCACAATAGCTTCTATAGAATCTGCTTGTTGCTTGATTAATTTAGCTGTCTGATCAACAGAGTCCATGATATCTCTCCAACTCTAAAACGTGACACTCATAAGCATATGCACTTCGGACAAATTGTTCTACAATTTTTCAAAGTATCAACATCTATGCAAATTCTCGCGAAAATACCTGCGCTATTAGACTGCCAACGAGATCCTCGTTGCGCTCGATTTTTTTCCCCTGCGTCGCTAAGGAAGAGATTGTTGAAGCATACTCGCGATCCGACTTAACTTTCGTCGTCAGGCATCGTTTCATCGTTTCGAGAAGCTTGATTTCAGCATCCTGACGGCCGAGTAACGCCTCGTGGGACGTTTGCCCCTGCAAACTCGTAGAAAAGCCCATTCCGCTAATCGTACGAAACCAAATATCACCGTCTTGACGACTTTATAAAACGTGTCACGAACAAAGATTCATTCTTACGTTGAACAAGTATAATAACATCAACGGTTAGAGAAACCAATAAATTTAGACGGACCGATCATCGAAATGCAGCATTTCAAGTACAAATTTCTGTACATATTACTTGACTCGACTCCCGCACATCTTTGCATTCGCTCAGGTGGCTGAGATCAACATTTATATTTATACGGACCTCAAACTGTAAAAATTTACTTTTACTCGCGAAATACCGTCACGGAACAACGATCGAGATAGACGGTCCATTCTACTTCGTCGAAAACGTCGGGGACCTATTGATGCAAGACTATCTCGACGCATTAAACCCTTTAACCAATCGCTCTTATGGTCTTCGAAATATTCTCGATGTTCAGCAATTTAATTTGATCGCGATGCGACATTGTCTTAACAGTAATTACTTTTAATGCTATACAAACTCGACCAAACTAAAGACTAAAACATTCAACGAGCCAGTCTGTTTTTCATATTTTTCATTTAAAAACGATCTTTAAAATCTTAACACTGCCAACCGTGCACTCCGTGAACTCAACGCAATACCGTGCAAACTTAAATTAGTCTTGTCTTGTTTTAGCAATATTGAGATTAATAACATGACATTTTTAAATAATACTCATCGCACTTTTATGATATCATTTAAGAACGAAGTTTCTTGAAATATCACATTGCAACAGTAGTCCCTGATACTTTCATTCCTAATACTCTTGGTGATTTTACCAATGTTACCGTTTTAATCTTTCCAGGGTTAAAGCTACTTCTCAAAAAAGACTGCAAGTAATATATTGCAAACAATATGTTGAAATATTCTTTTAATGTTATTTAATCGAACGAACAAATTCAATCATGTTCGTGGACATTATAAAAAGCATAATGGAGCGATTTATCGTAGCGACGTATGATTTAAACTGTATCGCATTTAGCTACACAAAGCCTGATACATATGTGTGCTAGATATTTTATTTTAAGCTCGCCTTGCAATCAGAGATACCAGACAGAGCCCCGGGTGCACCTCATTCCACTTTCTCACACTATGCCAGATCATGCGTACGTGAGCTCGTAGAGTTTCGGACAGTCGACGAAGGCAAGCTGACACATGCCCTCTTTTACGATTCTTCGAAGCTGCCCGAAGTAAGTTAGGACCGTCTCGTGGGAGTCGAGAGAGGAAGGCTCACATTTGCCTTCTCCCAATAATAGTAATTATTTAACGAGTAGCTTCTCTCGACTCGTTCTCTCGTTTTTCGCTTCGATCACCGCTGTTTCATCGATTGAAACATGTGGTCGGCCGTCCAGTTTGTCCGAAAGATCTAATCGTCTGCCCATGATAGATCCCTTCATCCCTTTTTAAACGAAATATTTACTTGGTACAACTAAACTAGAAGATCGAATGAACATCGTTTCCTTCCATCTCTTTAGTTTAGTAAGAATGTAAAATGGAGATCGATGGAACTTTGATTCCATCTATCTCCTTTCGGGTCTCCATTCGCAGCAACCTCCACGTGGTGAGACCTGGGTAATATTATTTAGCGTTTAATTAATAATCGTATCACTCTTATCTGGGTAATGCAATTATTAATTAAAAACTAAGTAATATTAGCAAATTGGCTGCGATCCGCTTTGCATAGATCATCATAAATATAGATCTTCTCCGCTAGGTTAGTTTTCATTCTCATTGAGTCATCAAAGATTCTAGAGTATTGTCAGACATATACTTATATTTCGGACAACGTATAAGGATCACTACTGACTTCTGCCTGCCTCTGCTGACCGCTGCTGACCACTCCTGATACTTCCGACAACGTATAACGATTACTACGGGCTACTGCTTGTTCCTGCTGGTCTCTACATGCCTCTACATGCCTCTACATGCCCCTACATCTCTCTGCTGGCCTCTGCTGGACCCTGCTGACCGCTGCTGACCACTCCTGATACTTCTGACAACGTATAACGATTACTACGGGCTACTGCTTGTTCCTGCTGGTCTCTACATGAATCTACATGCCTCTACATGCCTCTACATGCCCCTACATCTCTCTGCTGGCCTCTGCTGGCCCCTGCTGACCGCTGCTGACCACTCCTGATACTTCCGACAACGTATAACGATTACTACGGGCTACTGCTTGTTCCTGCTGGTCTCTACATGCCCCTACATCTCTCTGCTGGCCTCTGCTGGCCCCTGCTGGCCCCTGCCGACTCCTGCCGACCTCAGCTGACCGCTGCTGACCACTCCTGTTACTTCTGACAACGTATAACGATTACTACGGGCTACTGCTTGGTCCTGCTGGTCTCTACATGCCTCTACATGCCTCTACATCCCTCTGCTGGCCTCTGCTGGCCTCTGCTGGCCTCTGCTGGCACCTGCTGACCACTCCTGATACTTCCAACAACATATAACGATTACAACTTGCTACTGCTTGCCCCTGCTGTCCCCTGCTTGCCACTGCTGGTCTCCGCTGGCTTCTGCTGACCTCTGCTGGCCTCTGATGGCCTCCGATGGCCTCCGATGGCCTCCGATGGCCTCTGCTGACCCCTGCTGACCACCCCTGATGCTTCTGACAACGTATAAGGATTAGTACTTGTTACTGCTTGCCCCTGCTGGTCTCTGCATCTTTCTCCTGGCCTCTACAAGCCCCTGCTGGCCCCTGCTGACCCCTCCTGACCACTGCTGGCCCCTGCTGGCCCCTGCTGACCCCTGCTGACCCCTGCTGACCCCTGCTGACCCCTGCTGACCCCTGCTGACCCCTGCTGACCCCTGCTGACCACTACTGACCCTTGTTAACAACTTCTGCCATGATATATATGTATTAAAACATTGTATAATGTAAATCTATTGCAATAAATGATATAATTACAAAGAATTCTATGTCTTCTCATCATTTCTTACCTTTCTTTTCCTCTTCAAATCATTACCTTAGTTATAAGACTCCCAGAAACTCCTTGCTTGATTTCCCTGAACCCCTTTCTAAGTCCTGAAACAGCTGGAAAGGCCTGAAACAGCTGGAAAGTCCTGAATTTTAGCAAAGTTCTGAGTTTCAGGTCTTTCCAGCTGTTTCAGGGATTTTTAGCTGTTTCAGGTCTTTTTCGTTGTTTCAGGACTTTTAAGCTGTTTCAGGGCTTTCCAGCCGTTCCAGGACTTTTTCGTTGTTTCAGGGCTTTCCAGCCGTTTCAGGCCTTCCCAGCTGTTTCAGGCCCTTTTCGTTGTTTCAGGCCTTTTTAGCTGTTTCAGGCCTTTTTCGTTGTTTCAGGACTTTTAGCTGTTTCAGGGTTTTCCAGCTGTTTCAGGACTTTTTCGGAAATCGGCGAAATTTTCGAGCAAAAATTTTTTGACGAAAAAAATGAATTCTCGATTTTGCCAACAGGTACGAGAGTGACGGTTAGAGAAAAAAAATTTAAAAGTTAATTTTTGATTTTGGCAGCAAGTACGAGAGCTGGACACTTTGCGAATCCAATTTTAACCGGAAAAACGGTCTCTTAAAACTAAGGCAATGATTTGGAGAGGGAAAGGAAGGTAAAAATGATGAGAACACATAGAATTCTGTTAAATTATATCATTTATTGCCATAAATTTACATTATACAAGGCTTGAATACTTATACATCATGTCAGAAGTTGATAACAAAGGTCAGCAGTGGTCAGCAGTGGTCAGCAGGGGTCAGCAGGGGTCAGCAGGGGTCAGCAGGGGACAGCAGGGGATAGTAGAGGCATGCAGAGGCATGCAGAGGCAAGCGAAGACCAGCTGGGGCAAGCAGGAATCATTATACGTTGTCGGAAGTATCAGGGGTGGTCAGCAGTGGTCAGCAGGGGACAGCAGGGGATAGTAGAGGCATGCAGAGGCATCCAGAGGCAAGCGGAGACCAGCTGGGGCAAGCAGGAATCATTACACGTTGTCGGAAGTATCAGGGGTGGTCAGCAGTGGTCACCAGAGAACAGCAGGAGATAGTAGAGGCCTGCAGAGGCATGCAGAGGCAAGCGGAGACCAGCTGGAACAAGCAGAAATCATTATACGTTGTCGGAAGTATCAGGGGTGGTCAGCAGGGGACAGCAGGGGATAGTAAAGGCATGCAGAGACATGCAGAGGCAAGCAGAGACCAACTGGGGCAAGCAGGAATTATTATACGTTATCGAAAGTATCAGGGGTGGTCAGCAGGGGACAGCAGGGGATAGTAGAGGCATGCAGAGGCAAGCGGAGACTAGCTGGGACAAGCAGGAATCATTATACGTTGTCGGAAGTATCAGGGGTGATCAGCAGAGGCCAGCGGAGGCCAGCGGAGGCCAGCAGTGGCAAGCAGGGGAGAGCAGAGGCCTGCAGAGGCATGCCGAGGCAAGCGGAGACCAACTGGGGCAAGCGCGAATCATTATACGTTATCGAAAGTATCAGGGGTGGTCAGCAGTGGCAAGCAGGGGAGAGCAGAGGCCTGCAGAGGCATGCAGAGTCAAGCGGAGACTAGCAGGGACAAGCAGGAATCATTATACGTTGTCGGAAGTATCAGGGGTGGTCAGCAGTGATCAGCAGGGGACAGCACGGGATAGTAGAGGCATGCAGAGCTATGCAGAGGCATGCAGAGGCATGCAGAGGCAAACTGATACCAGCTGGGGCAAGCAGGAATCATTATACGTTGTCGGAAGTATCAGGGGTGGCTCAGCAGTGATCAGCAGGGGACAGCACGGGATAGTAGAGGCATGTAGAGGCATGCAGAGGCATGCAGAGGCAAGCAGAGGCATGCAGAGGCAAGCGGAGACCAACTGGGGCAAGCAGGAATCATTATACGTTGTCGGAAGTATCAGGGGTGATCAGCAGAGGCCAGCGGAGGCCAGCGGAGGCCAGCGGAGGCCAGCAGTGGCAAGCAGGGGAGAGCAGAGGCCTGCAGAGGCATGCAGAGTCAAGCGGAGACTAGCAGGGACAAGCAGGAATCATTATACGTTGTCGGAAGTATCAGGGGTGGTCAGCAGTGATCAGCAGGGGACAGCACGGGATAGTAGAGGCATGCAGAGGTATGCAGAGGCATGCAGAGGCATGCAGAGGCAAGCGGAGACCAGCTGGGGCAAGCAGGAATCATTATACGTTGTCGAAAGTATCAGGGGTGGTCAGCAGTGGTAAGCAGGAGACAGCAGGGGACAGCAGGGGTCAGCAGGGGCTTGTAGAGGCCCGCAGAGAGATGCAGAGACCAGCAGGGGCAAGCAGTAACAAGTACTAATCCTTATACGTTGTCAGAAGCATCAGGGGTGGTCAGCAGTGGTCAGCAGAGGCCATCGGAGGCCAGCAGAAGCCAGCGGAGACCAGCAGTGGCAAGCAGGGGCCAGCAGGGGCAAGCAGTAGCAAGTTGTAATCGTTATATGTTGTTGGAAGTATCAGGAGTGGTCAGCAGCGGTCAGCAGAGGCCAGCAGAGGCAGGCAGAAGTCTGTAGTAATCCTTATACGTTGTCCGAAATATACCTGGTGGCCAGCGGAGGCTGGGAGAGGCTGACAGTACCCATTCGCAATCGTCATACGTTGTCAGAAATATAAGCGGTGGTCAGGAGAGGCCAACAGAGGCTTGGAGAGGCTGTCAGTAACCAGTAGTAATCGTTATACGTTGTCGGAAGTATCAGGCGTGGTCAGCAGAGGCCAGCAGAAGCCAGCAGAGGCTGCGAGAGGCTGGCAGTAGCTAACAGTACTGGTTATACGTTGCCAGATGTATCAGAAGTGATATCTGAAATGATATACATAGGTATGCTCATACATAGGAATAATAAAAAAGAATTTATTTTTGTTCAATAATTTAAATATGATCAGGGGGAAAATTTCACAAAATTTTTTACCTTGCTTATGTTCGTCTACATACATAGGTCGGAAAGTAAAAAATACTTGGACAGTCGAGACTTGGAATCGTATACCGTCGACGTGAGGTCGAATGTTAGTTGTTCAAGAGAGAGAGGGCAAATGAGCCTTCCGCTCTCGACTCCCACGAGACGGTCCTAACTTACTTCGGGCAACTTCGGAGAATCGAAAAAGAGGGCATGTGTCAGCTTGTCTTTGTTGAGTGTCCGAAACTCTACGAGCTCACGTACGCGTGATCTGGCATAGTGTGAGAAAGTGGAATGAGGTGTCCCCGGTGCACCCGGGAGCTCCGTCTGGCATCTCTGCTTGCAATTACGTAGTAAGACTCTTACTGTAAGAGTATAAGAGCTGGTCTGCTAGAATTCCGGTAGAAGTATTTTATTATTCAGAAATAGTTATAGTTTGATCGTGTGTAGCATCAGTCGATTCAGTTATTTGAATACCATGGCGAGAAAAATGCTGGGTTTAACTTGGAGCAGTTTGAAAAAGAACCCGATGGTAATTAAAACGATGAATCGAAATCATATATGTACGTACACGGTAATAGTAATATTTTCTTGTTATTAGCTTATGCCACTGTATTTTTGCATCGGAGCCGGGGCAACAGGAGCATCGTTTTATTTGTTACGTCTTGCTACTCGTAATCCCGACGTTTCGTGGTTTCCTAAGAAAAACCCCGAACCGTGGAACGATTACAAAGACAAACAGTACAAGGTAAGTCGTTCGTGCAATGTGAACGAAATGAACGGTACGATCAATAGGACAGATAGCATTTAAGTCTGATGATTATCTCTAAGCTACTTAAATCATTCCATGTCTTATTTTTATTTTTAGTTCCGGTCGGTTCACTATTCTGGTGCCAAAAGTCCAGCACCAGAGTACTAAAAAGATGTGCTTCATATCTTAGTATTAACCATAGTTAAGTTAAAATTATATTATGTTGTAACATAATTTATATTTATACATTGTGATCTGCAAATTGTATGAATGTGTTATTAGTCTGTCATACATCATGTACAGTAAAGTAAGATTTAAATGATACACAGAAGCTTGAACATATTTTAAAATTAGTGTCATTTCGATGATACTACAAGAAATAAACAATAAAATGATACATACGATGGCACGTTGAAAACGCAATATTTACGTTTTAAAATGTGTTGAAGTAATAAATTCATTTCATGCCGTTTCTAAGCTTTCCCATAAAGTTTCTGTAATTTTTCATGAGAACGTAGCAGAACAATTATTTATATGTTGCAAGAGATGCGCATATCCATCGTGGTTCGATTCAGTATTTACAAATGAAAGACGAACCGTGCTTTCGTGCATGCGCTATCCGATGACGTCAAAAACAGTGACGTGCATTGTTATGGGGGGCATCAAAGTGTACAGAGTACAGCAGGTTTTTACGAACTGCGTGTAGGTTAAGTGTGGGTGTTGCGTCATCATGTGATCGTAGCTTCTTTAATTCCGTTATTAATTTCCCAGAAACGTACAGATAATTTTCTAAAATAGCCTCATAGAAGACTAAACGGTACCTGTTTTCATTCGATCAGGACACTTTGTTGATGTTAATTTCGACGAGACACGTGTGAAATAAAAAACCGGCCTATCTAAAAACACTGATTTAGTCACGTCCATTTTCTCCGATGCCCAAGGATAATGGGCAACGTAAGGAACACCTGATACGCTCGATACTGTTAATATTTAATGACAATAATTCGAGTTTCGTTATACCTTATTTATTAGATTTTATTTGATAAAAACATTATTGCTTTTAACAATTGCTATTGCAATATCAATCCTTTGTTAGACTTACATTCTTTAATGTACGTGTACATGTAAATTTAATTTTTAAATTTATAAGAAACATCCGTGATAGGATAGTAAAAAGGTTTTACTGTGATAATATTAAATTTAAATAATATATGAATATGAATTCAACATGGGAAGATTTTTATGCCAAACATCCACCACCTCAAGACCTTGCTCAGAGCGAAGCATTGCTAAAAGAATTTATAGGGCGGCAATTAGAAAGGAACAAAGTTGTACTGGTAACAGTAAGTTGTAATATTGTTAATCCTAATATGTACAGAAGTGATGAATTACCATGTACCAATGTTACAGAGCGGTGGTACAACAACACCTTTAGAACACAATACTGTAAGATTTGTAGATAATTTTAGTGCGGGAACAAGAGGATCTGTGTCTGCAGAATATTTTTTAGAAAAAGGATACGCTGTAATTTTTATGCACAGGTACTTATTGTACAATTAATCTTCACAAATGATACTATATCCATTTTACAAGCATTATTTGTCCATTAACAGAGTGAAATCCCTAGAACCATTTTCAAGGCATTTTATAGGATACAAAGTATTAGACATGTTAGAAATGAAGCAACTAGAAGGAAAATCTGTCATAACAGGTATGTTTCTTATACATTAAAATCATAGAATGTTTTGTAATGTACCGAGGGAGGCATTCAAGATAGGCCACTTGAATAACTTATGCCTTTTTTGATAGAAGAGAAAGCATCAGACAAACTTGTGTGATTTCAAAGGGTGTTTTTTTTCACCTTCTAATAGAACACATTTGACTTATGATCGAAGGTCATTCAAGGTCAATAAGAAATTAGAATATTCTGTAGGCAAGATTGGTTTCATGCATTCTTTTCTATGGTAAAAAGTAAATGAGTTATTTGAGCAGTCTCCTCTATAAATCTCCATAATGTACTTGTTTTCAGTACAATCGCAATATACGGAAAAGTTAGCGTCGATATTACATAAATATAAAGAAGCCTTGAATCAAGACAAATTGCTGCAACTTACATTCACAACAGTCTCTGAATATCTCTGGCTTCTCCGATCCGCTTGTCAAGCGCTAGCCTGCCTTAAAGACAAAGCTATTTTATATCTTGCAGCGGCAGTTTCAGACTTTTACATTCCATCCAATGAATTGGTATTTCTATCTAAAATCTTCTAATAAAAGACTGTGAACGAATCGATATTCCTTCATAAAAATTTTGTTAGAATTTATGTGTATGAAAATGATCTTCAAATTTTTAGTCAGTTCACAAGATCTCTTCCAGCGGACCACCAACGATATCCCTTAAATTAGTACCGAAATTATTAGCTCCTTTGGTAAATTTATGGGTTCCACAGGCATTTGTAGTGTCATTCAAATTGGAAACAGACGAAAATCTATTAATATCGAAAGCGAGAAATGCACTCAATAAATACAAGCATAACGTGAGTAATTTTAATTATTCAGCTGACCAGTAAGAACGAAATATTCCAATTCTTGGTATATACTGAAAATATGTTCCTACAGTTAGTCATAGCTAATATGTTACAAACACGAAAGCAGCAAGTAATAATTGTCAATCACGAGAATGATTACGTTATATCTCTCACGGACGAGCAATTGAACAAAGGTGAAGAAATCGAAAAATTGATCGTGAATAATCTCATCGACAGACACCAATGTTTCATACGATCTAATGAAAAAGCTAAGTGATGCGTATTTTCGTCACATTCTTTTAATTTATATAAAATGCATTTCAATTTGGGAAATATAAAATAAACATGTCTGATGATCGATAATTGGCATTATATTGGTACAGTTCCATATTGACGAATTGAAAAGAATCCGTGAAAAACCTGTTCCTGTTATTTTATATGTATATTAATTATTTACACTATTGCGTCTCTGTTCAGATTTACGTAGAAAATAATTATTTTCCGTTAAATGTACTTAACGCTATCTTTCATAAATCTATGCAAAGAAATACATATGCTTAACCAAAGATTCGAAATTAGTTTTAAAGCGTTACTTTTTGAACATCGTTATCAACGTGTTAATTTTGTCGATCAGTTGTCTGTTCGATGGTTCGCATTGTGCTAACACAAAAGTTAACGCGGAAACATCTTCTTGTTCCGCTGCAGCGTCAACTGCTTCGCTTAACATTCTGCAATATTGCAACAAAGTAATTGTTGCGCCGTAAATATATTCAGAGCTACAATAAACAACCGTGTACTTACTTCAATTTAATTAAATACTTCACTTTCAGTTCCTTCTTTACTTTCGGCAAATATTTCTTTGCTTCTGTTTCTTTGTTATACATTAAACACTGATCTATGAACGGCTGAAATGAACGAAGAGAAATACGATACATCTTCACATAAATATCACGTTGTTATCGCGAGAAACGAAATAAATTTAATACTAGAAAAGATACCTCGTAGCCAATAGGAGATTTCTTACTCTTGGAAAACTTTTCTAATTCCTCCCACATATCCTGTGCCGACAAACACTGTATTCGTAACCACCAATATCTAAGAAGAATGATTTATTCCATGGATAACATACGATATAAAAAGAAAATGTTGAAAGAAAAACGTTCGCGTACCTTCGATCTGGTATTCGATATTCGGATCTCAGTTTCTCTGCTAATTTCAATTCATTGTGCAACAATAACATTTTTACAGTATCATGCAACGGTTTACCAACGATCGATTTGTGCAACGTGTCTTCCAAAGTCTTTTGGTAACGCAATAATTTTATTTGTTCTTCCGTCAAAGCCGCATTCGTGTCATTGCGAGCACTCTTAAAATTTTCCTGCGCATATTGCAATAACGCCTCTCTCGACATTGTATTCTAAAACGATATTTCTCGGGTGAAACATACGTGTTGGTACACACAATCGATTGACCGATCACAGTTGACACTTTAATAACGCGGAGGTTAAGGATGTCGCGTATAATTTTCAGTTCTAAAGGAGAAACACAATCGTTCTATTTCCCTATTATTTATTGAGCGTTCTCAAGGTTATTTAAAAGTCAATGTTTGTTTTTTTTAAATAAAAATCTGGATCTCGTATTGAAGGGTCAACTGTATACATATTAATTTATACCCACCTTTCGCCGATAGCTCTCAGTAATGAACAATACCGCTTGAGCATGAAAATTATCGTACTGATTATAAATATCTCGAAGAGTTTCCCGATCACGACTCTGACAGTATTTTATATATAACGCCTTTGCTAAAGGACAATGCTTTATGTACAGCTGTGTCGTATTAATAACAAGAATCTTAATTAAATTTGCGTTACTCTTTATCATTAAAGTCGAATCGGTGATAAATAGTTTACCTGAAAGTCACTGATCGTCATCTTCTGCCTGAGATGAGGTATTACCATATACACTAAATCGGTATTGCCGCTTTCAACGGCTTTGCGAAGAGCAGTTTTTTCTTCGCCTAAGCTCAATAAAAGCGGCACCTGTTGGTGTGCACGTGGTTCATAGTCTATCAACTAACAAGAAAAAAAAATGGCATGTTACCAAGTATTAGAGCTGAAGCTTAGCAAAGATGAAAGACAAAAAATATATACTTTAATAGCCAGTTGTTTTCTACCATAGTCAGCTGCTTTTTTCGCTATCTCGTTGTAAGAAACTCCAGGCGCGTATCCTAATTTAACGGCTATTTCTTCTGCTAATTGTTCTTTGTCCAATTGTGTTTGTTTTATCTATCACAAAAAAAAGTTGTTACGTACAGATGGTATAGTACATATCCTGTATGTACTAAGATCAATTGAAAGTATAGTATTACTTTATAGCAAGCCCAGTGAGCTAATATTCTGCTTTCGCCATCGATTTCGGGCAATTGAAGATATCGTACTATTTGTATAGCCAAGTAGTAGTGTCTTCTCACAACCAATCTGTCCAACAACACTTGATTCGTTAAAACGGTATATCTGATAGTTGATTAAGTATTTTACAATTATGAAGTATCGACTTAATCGAAAGATCGTACAGTGTTTATTATTATGCGTTACATAAAAGGATACTGCATATATGTTAATGGAATTCCAATTGCGGGATGTCTCACGGCATTAAAAACTCTCAATGTTCGACACATATTGACATAATATTCAGGATCGACCGTCTTGCTAAATCCCTTCCCAAATTTGGCTGCCTAAGATAATCAATGAGCGTGTCACTTACTTCTTACATTTTAGAAAGAAAATAAACAAGATCATCGCGAGAAATCTTACTCTCATTAAAAGCTTTTGCGTCGTGAAATCGAATTCATGAGCAGCTGCATCGATGCAAGCTATTACCGCCGCATCTATGTGAGGTTTCACCAAATCTATGTAACTGCCGGCCTTGTGACTCTTCTTTTCAAACTGTTTGGAAGCTTCCAAAAGATAAGACGCAGGATCTATCGAATTAATTCGAAATATTTTCTGAACGACGTTTGGTACTTTTTGTATCATTTCGTGAGAAGAACTGGATAAAACGCGTACACCGTCGATCTCTGTAACAAGATGCACTGGACCGTCGTAATTGTACACTATTGTTTCGGCTGTTCGTCCGACAACCATGATAGTACTATCCCAGCTGCAAACTACCGCTTCTGTTCCACACCTAGAAATTCCTATGTAAATATTACCAATTATATTTTACAACGATACAAACATACCAACCATGCTATGTCCGATAACGTTTCTTTCGTGTTCGCGTAATATCTACAATATGTCTCCTGGAAATCTATAGAACCTAAGTACAGTTGGCCAGTATCCGCGTAAAGAGCAATATGATGATTTCCGATAACAGCCATAGCTATCACGCGGTTTACTTTCTGCTGTTTCGTAAAGACTGTCTCCTAATAGAATACATAGTTTTGTTAAATCCCGAGAACACAACAGTTTCATTCTTTAAAGTTTTTATAACATACAAATGGTATACGCGTATGATTTTGATGTGTTTGATGTAGTATAAATATTCCGTCCCAATTCGATAAAATTACCCGCGTTTCTCTGTTGCTGAATGCTAAACACCAGCAGTCTATTGGCCCTCTATATCCTAAAAGGAAGATAGTTAAAGCACAGGTAGGTACAATTTCTATTTGTGCTAATCACAATTTGATGAACCTACTTGGAACTGCCGACATTTGCCTAACTTTTGGTTCGACTATATTATTCACTAGAAATATTTGTTGAGTGGATGTTAAAACAGCAATACCTGTTCCACTATAGCTTGTAAAAAACTTTGCTTCTACAACTTTGGTATCCTTTACTTCCTGATACAAAAAAAAAAAAAGAAATTCAAATATGACTGTAATATTTTTTCAGGGTGTACGATCATAAAACCATTATGAATAACATACGTTCCCCATAGTAAATGCGTGTTGGTACGTTCCAAACATATCATATATATGAACCATGCCATTGTCTTGTATACATAATAGCTCTTCCTGCTGTGACCATCCGATACTCACCAGCTGACCAGCATTCCACTGAACATGTATAATAAATAACATAAAATAATCAAATGTTTTTAATATTTTCAGAAATTATTGGCATTGGAAAAGCTTTACTTGAAACTTGGCCATTAGATTCCCAGCAGAAGTATACAAGTATATCATAGTTTTATTTGCCCCCTGAACTTTAACGAATTTCTTAGGATTTCTGGTAATTGCGATGGAACCTCCATAAGGAGCTGCTGCTAGTAGATTGTTGTCCGAAACTTCTTCTTGGAACGATAACGGGTACAATTCAAACTTCCTATAAAATAATTATAATTTTTTACTTACACTTTTTCTTTCTAAAATCGCATAACTTTGCCCGATTGTATCGTTCTATCGGTGTAACCTTAATATCATTACCGAAAGTATATGTCTCGGCCCAAAGGAAACCAATCAGCAGTTAACATTGCCAACATTTTGAGAAGATTGTCGTCTTGTTCTACCTTATTTAATCGTAATCGTAAACGATACTGAACAGTAACAACAAAGAAGCATTTACTGATTGTTGTCAACACTCTTTATAGATTTCTATGGACTTCCTCCTGTTTTGCACTACACACGCCCCATGAACAGTGTTACCAGATTTGTCACTTTATCAGGCATGCGTATGTGTCATCGAAAGAGCAAAGGCATGAAGATGAAGCCAAAAAGTGCTTCGTAAAACATTTGCTCCTTTTCATCGAGCGCGTACCGAGTATTTATAAAGCATTCGAACTCGTTTAATTTAAAATTTCGTTCAAGCGGGAAAAGAACGAGTATTCGTTCGCTTATTCTAACCTCCAAACGCTCACACTCATGTGCATATGTTCGTAGCGAACAGTTGACGGTGCAAGGGACAAAATGTTCTAAAATTCTGAACAGTATTATGACTGTTGCATGTTGTACAATAGTGTTGCGTTCTTGTGTACAAGCTATCGATAGTTACCATCGATAGTTTAGATAGATCCAGTCACTCGGACTGAAGTAACGAATAAGAGGTGTTGGCAGAGGTTATGAATATTATTGTTTAGTAATTTTCTAATGCAAAGGATAGTGTTAAGGAGGCAATGTACATTTCTTAATATATCATTAGAGGCTCCAACTTAGAGCAAATAAACTATTAAGCGTATAACGTATCGGCTGTGTCCGTGACTGTCACGGACTTGCACAAATTGGACGTTAGGCGGGTCCATGTATGTCACGGGTGTGAGAGTAACGGGGTTAAATCAATATCTCTCGACAAACTTTACCTTTGAAATCGAGACAAACTGATATTTTTAATAATACGATTAAATTTTACTAATATTATAAGGATTATTCTTGGAAGAAATATGATCCTAGATATCCAAACGTTTCCTTCATTCCTGACCTTGTTTGACTTTTCAGATCGTTGCATAGCACGTATGCAATAGTAAAAAATGAATATACACTATCATATTGGATGTAGAAACTTCTTCGAGAAAGAACGTTGGCTAATTAAGGAAACTATTTAAATATTTATTTTAGTATTTGAAAAAATGTGATTTTATACGCGATTCGGTTTCAAGATCGCTGGACCAAAAATGGACGATTTCAGCGGCCACTCTTTTCGGCGACGAGGTCGTTGATCCACGTTGCGTTTGCCTTCGGTCGCGGAGTTGAATGAAAGTAACACGATATAATAGAAAGTACGCCGGCGACTGTCAATCGCTATCGTAATAACGATTAAAATAACTAACAGCGTCTGTTTCTTTAGCAATCCGTTAACGGAAGTTGCATGAAAAATTCTGATGTTGGATCCAGAGAACGGATATATCGGAAGCAAGGATGCAGGCAACGGATCCGCTGGTATCGAGCACTTCGTGTAGACAGTGGCAGTGAAAGGTTGTAAGACAAACGTTTCTACGTTCATCCGTTCCCATCTTGCGCTCCTTTCCCACACTGCGTGTACCAAATAGACACACATGCACGAATCGGAGAAATACGCGCGCGCGATGTACAATTTATAACAACAGATATAGAATAAGACCAAGGAACAACTTATTTCTATTAAGTAATTGAACCAATTTGTTACTTTGATAGTAGATGGCAATTTAATTTCAATATTCTTACTCGACATCGTACAAAATATTATTTATGTTAGAATTCTAATTTGTTACTTCGATAGTAGATGGTAATTGAATTTTAACATTCTTACCTATAAAATATTATTTATGTTAAAATTCTATGCGTTCAGTTTTGCTTCTTGCTGTATGTTTATGTAATGATATTTCATAGTTTTATTTGTTGGGAGAAATTCTTTTTAGTTTTAGTAGTTTTATTAAATTGTTTCTCATGCCAATAATTTTGTGACTCACTGTAGGTAAACTCGCGCGAACACCGTTATGTTGGAGTCCGCGAATCCCGCGGAGAAGGGCAACACGGTATACGTTAGTCTCCACCGGGGTCCCCTTCTTCTTTCTCGTTCATTACGATTTTTCATTGCTACGCTACGGCCGCTCGAACTTCTCCGTCAGTTTCCGAATGTCGAGGCGTGTACCATTCGTTTCGGTATCTTCGCGACGCGTTCTCCGTGAAACTGAACGCGTGGTCTTGCGACGAATTCTATACTGTACGGATGTAAACGGTTAGGATAGTAAACGCCATATTTTAACGATCGAGACGGTGACTTTTTTTTTGTCGAACGAAAGGTAGAACTCGGAGTAAATGAGAAACGAAAAAAAGGGTACGAGTGCGTGAGCGCGAACGGGCGCGGTGTTCACCGAGGAATCGTTTTCTTTCAACTTAAACGGACCTCGGGGTACGCAGGAAAGGGAACGCGCCGCGATGAAGACAAGTTCTTAGCGGTCCGGTAGCTGGGACGTTCCGATCGACGTGGAAAATAATTCAGAAGGTGATGCGGACCGGGTACGAGCGATAATAAAACAGTGTCGCGTGGACCAGCGAACATGATAGCAGTGTAAGTTGCCGTGTTATGCAGTGCCCGATTATGGGTGTTTGTTCGTTGTTAATACCGTTCGACTGTTTAGTCAGCAACGGCGCATTTGGGTCCATCGTGGGAACACGTAAACGATACGAAATGTCTGGCCGTTGTTCGCGAGGTCTCCGCAAAAATATTCAAGGCTGATCGTCGATGTATCGTCCACTTACTTTCTAACTCGGGACGAATCAACGGCTCGAATCGCTCGTGTAATCGGACAGGTCGCGGATTGTTAATTGCTATGCAGAGAACGTTGGCCTGCTGGTTCGCCAAGACGCCGCGCGAGATACAAGATTAAGATAAACATATTGTTTCTGGAGGAAGCTCGTGGGAACGGTTGCGAGGCGGTAAACCTGCCCGGTCTGCATAATTATCAAAGAATACAATGCATAATTGCAGAGGGGAGAGAGTCTCCAAAGGATTTAAGGGGTTGTCTTTTAAATTGTACTTCTAGAGAAAGAGTCATTGTAATCGTTTGAAATTCTAAATTCTAAGACTGACGCTTATAACAAACGAACCTTAATGTTCGTAACATTTTTGAAGAATTTCAACTATCAAGAACCCCGTTGAACAGTTGAATATTCTTATTTGTTGCGTTATAAATTAAAAAAAATATCGAGTATATTTCTAGACTGGGAAAACCGGTGTGGCCGGTGAACGTGTCAATAATTACGGAAGTTACAATTCAATTACATAAATGCGTAGCTTTTTTTTCACGGTGAACGTAATTCGGACTGATGAGAAATACGAGATTTGTTAACGGAATTATAATCCAGAAAGATATATTTCCCCGGTGCGTTGGAAGCAGAATGCACGGCCATTAACCATTCTGGTTTTTCTTAATAAACGAGACTGGTTTTACTTCCTCTGCGACGAAGCGCGTATAGAAAACACGATCCGGTGTATAAAACGTGCATTATGGGTTCGTAAAAGTTTCAGGGGAGCATAAAATCTAACAATTTTAAAAGTATTTGAAAGATAACTCGATCGTGATATCACTGTTACGAATGATCTGTTTTCGTTTTTAGTAAGATCGTGGAATAATGAAACTGATCGGTTCAGGATTGAATGATGCATCGAGTGGGAAGCCTGAACAGTTAAAATTCAATTCCTGTCTACCGTGCAACGGTTTCTTGGCGGATTCGCGTTACGCGCCTCGTTGGTCAAATTCGAGCGCCGAGCGAAAATTAACGCGGGAATGCCTCGCTCCGCCGAGAAATCCCGTTCGCTCGGAGAAAAAGAAGGGAACGTGGTCGTTTAGGTATTCGCGACAAACAGGTTTCACTGTGCGTATCTGTACAGCGGACGAAATCACCGTTACACGTAAGGTATCCGCGTTTCGAGACGCGGACGAACACGCCTCTGCGCGCCGCGACGCGCACCGCAACGCGGAAGAAAATTGAAAGCGCGCAGCGCGTACATTTCGACGTCGAAAGCGTCTTTAACCCTTTGCACACCTATATCGAGTGCGATTCGACGTCAATTTTTATCTCAGGAGCTCCTTCGTCAAGTACACATGAAAATTACAAAATACAACAACGGTGTAAACAAAACAGATATTTTAACAGGTGAATTTCAAATAAAACACTTAAAGGCGTTGGGAGCAGGTGGTAACAAAATTGAAATATAATTCGGAGTGCAAATGGTTAATCGGGATAAGGGTTTCTCGAACCATGGCCACCAATGAGGATCGAACGAGACTGTTAACGCACGATTACTACTTCGTCATCTGTACTTAAAGCAGCAGATGAAATGACGTAAAAATGCGGTGTAAACAAAACAGATATTTTAACAGGTAAATTTCAAATAAAACACTTAAAGGCGTTGGGAGCAGGTGGTAACAAAATTGAAATATAATTCGGAGTGCAAAGGGTTAATTAGGATAAGGGTTTCTCGAACCATGGCCACCAATGAGGATCGAACGAGACTGTTAACGCACGATTACTACTTCGTCATCTCTACTCCAAGTTTCAGATGAAATGACGTAAAATTGCAGGCCAGGGACACCCAGTCACAGATTTAAAAATGACATAAATGCACATTACTCATCTGACAACGCGTTGAAGAGTTATTCCAGAGGAATCGGCGATCCCTGGCTTGGTTTACGAGAAAGTTGAACTTAAACATCGGCCCGGTGTACTTAAATTTCCGCCATCTTGAAATGTTCTTCTCTTTTAAGAATTCTTATATATATATCTATGTTTAATAATAATATATGAATAATTATATCTATGTTTAAGATTGTTTCGTTTCCAGGTGGTGGGTGTCGTTGGTACTTTTGCTGTCGAACGTCGAACCGTCGAAGCAAGCGGAATGGATACCCTGCGTGGAGCTGAAACGGAATCTGCAGGTCCCCTGCAAGTGTTCCGTGTCCGCGGAGTACACAGGTCGCGCGATCGAGATGAACTGCGACAGAGTGGTCTTCACGCGGGACACGATGGAGAGTCTGCGCGGACAACCGATCGTCTCCGTCAGCCAAAGGCACAGCGGTTACCAGACACTGCCCGAGGACCTGCTGGACTCCGGATTGAGCCTGAGGAAGCTCGATCTGTCGGGCAACTCGATCTACAAGCTGATGAATCGCCTGCTAGTGGCACATCCCAGATTGGAGGAGCTGAAACTCGCTGACAATCTCCTGGGCGACAGCCTGAACCCGATATTCTCGAGCAACGAGTTTCACGGCATGAGGGAGCTGAAGCTCCTCGATCTGAGCAGAAACGGCCTGAGGAGCATCGAGGAGGGCATCTTCAAGGGTTGCGAGAACCTCGAGCAACTTTACTTGGATGGCAACGATCTAACAGCGGTGCCAACAGCGTCGCTGAAGGGTCCAAAGTCCATCAGAGTGCTCTCGCTGTCTGGGAACAGTATTGGTGCGTGGTGGTCGAGTCACCGATGAATTATACTCTTTATCAAAGTCTTGAGAGTCTTGGAAAACTCTCTGTTTACTTTTTTCCGCAGTATCGCTGCCACGAGCTGCCTTTTCGATGGTCGGTGAGTCCCTGCTGCGATTGGATCTCAGCGAGAACGAACTCTCCCACATGGAGGATGGTGCACTCTCTGGGCTCGAGCAGTTGCTGCTTCTGAATCTATCGCGCAACGATCTTGGTCGATTCAACAGCGATGCTTTCAAAGGTGCAAACGACTGGTGGTCGAAATTATAAAACGCGTTTAAATGGAATCCTTTACTCATTGATCGTTTTCCACTAATTCTAATCGCTGAATCCGAATGATCTTGGTCGTTTCAACAGCGATGCTTTCAAAGGTGCAAAGGACTACTGGTCAAAATGATAAAACGCGTTTAAATGGAATCCTTTGGTCATTTGGAATCTTTTGGTCTGATCGCTGAATCCGAATTTAATACAGGTACAATGTCTCAAGCACCTGAGGAACGCGACCTGGATCTTGGTGGCGTTCGCACGTTACCGAGTTCCACTTTCGTAGAGACTCGCGTGAAAAGCGAGCCACCCGTTGTCCATTTTCTCAGCAGCCTTGCGGGGAACAACGGGCGAGTCGCAATCGTTGTTCTCACGGGTCGGTTAGTTACGTACGCGGCTCCTACTTTCGCGTAACTATATTCAAAAGTTGCGCTAACTTCTTTTATCGTTACGCTCCATCGCTCACCGCGGCCATTAACTCTTTACGTTGGCATTTAACGCGTGATCTGTAATACATTCCATAAGCCACCGGGCACTTAACGAACATGGAATAAAAACGAACTGATACTTATTCGTTGTGTTAAACAAATTTCATAATAATCATCAGCTTGGTCATATGAAGACTGCGGATGTTTATGCATTTATGGGAAATTTTAATCCTCGAAAAACTACAGAATGCATTTAACGTGCAAAAATATAAGAAATACTTAAAGTAAGGTACGAATTATTATATTTAGCGAACATGAAATAAAAACGAACTGATACTTATTCGTTATGTTAAACAAATTTCATAATAATCATCAGCTTGGTCATATGAAGACTGCGGATGTTTATGCATTTATGGGAAATTTTAATCCTCGAAAAACTACAGAATGCATTTAACATGCAAAAATATAAAAAATACTTAAAGTAAGATACGAATTATTATATTTAGGGGTTGAGACAGCCCTCTGCGAAGCTTCCGTTTCATCAATTCCGTTAATAAAAATGTCAATTTGCATAAAGATCCGCAGTCTAGTCATATGTCAAATATTGGTCAAAGCATAATAATGTCTGAGAGATATTTATGAAGAGGAAAGTGGAGCCAACCAGCACTCACAACAACTAACGTTAAATATGTTACTTTCAGGTGCTTATAATTTGCTGCAATTGGACCTGTCGGCAAACTTTCTCCAAGAGTTTCCCAGCGACGCTCTGAGGCTCTTAACGGATTTGAAGTTTCTCAACATTTCCAACAATTTGATCACCGTAAGTAGCAGAATCGGTGCCCATACTGAGCGTTTAACGACCAAAGATAGCCAGTGTGTTTTATGAATAGAAATAAGAAGCACATTGTTAACGCAAAGTCGTGGATACTTGGAAGCATAGCAAAGATGTACAAAGATATTCCTGCAAGGTTCATCCACTGTTCATCACAGTTTTTAGAATCATTATCCTTTCCAGGACATAGACCAGGCGCATCTGTCAGGTCTGAAAGAGCTGCAGGTGTTGGATCTAAGTCGCAACAACATTGGTCGCCTCGGAGTCAACACGTTCTCCAGTCTGTCCGCCCTCACTAGACTCGATTTGAGCTTGAATGCTCTACGAACGGTACGTGACGACGTCCAGGCGCTTAAAAATTGTCGATCCCCTTTCAATGATATTGATTACAGATAGAGGAATCATCATTCGAAGGTCTAACAAAATTAAAGTGGCTCTCCCTGCAAGACAACAACATTCTCCTGGTGCCAGCAACTGCTCTGACCAGACTACCGTCCCTGACCCATCTCCACGTGGAGTTCAACCGTATAGCCGCTCTATCCACCGAGCTGATAAAAGCAACAGCCTCTGGGTTGGTCACTCTGGCGCTCACGCGAAATTTGGTACGAGAAATACCGCCTGGATCGTTCCACGACTTCGAGAATCTGATCAGCATCGAGCTATCGGGCAACATGCTGTCGACCATCACCCCGAGCACGTTCGCCGGATTGGAGGACACGCTGGTCAACTTGGACGTCTCCCGCAACAGGTTGACGTCGATCGGGGAGCTTCCTTTGCGGAACCTGGCCTCCCTCGACCTGGCGGGCAACCAGCTGACGCGACTACCGCCAGAAACATTCGACCGTCTGCAACGATTGAGATATTTGAATCTGAGCTCGAACCCCTTGTACGGTGGCTTTCCACCCGTGTTTCCGTCCTCTATCGTCGACCTGGACGTGTCGCGTACCGATCTAAGGATACTACCAACGATCCTGCTGGCGAATCTAGAGTCCCTCGAGAGGATATCGATCGCTGGGAATAGACTGGAAAAGATCGAAGAAGGGACGTTTCGGGGCCTTCGAAATCTGACCAGGATCGACTTGTCCAACAATCAGTTGGAGAGCATCGAGAACGGAGCGTTTGCGAGTCTAGCGAATCTCTACAACCTGAATCTGCGAGGGAACAAGCTGACTTCGTTCGCCGGGGAACATTTCGACACGGGAACCGGCTTGGAGGTCCTCGACTTGTCGAGCAACCGCATCGATCGTTTGTCCCCGACCGCTTTCGCGATTCATCCGAGGCTGAGGGAGCTCGATCTCTCCGATAATCGGTTCCTTCACTTCCCCGGCGACTATGCGCGATCCCTGCAGTTCTTGGAACGATTGGACTTGTCCCACAACGCGTTGAAACGCGTCGGGGAGTTTGGGTTCTCGCGGATCGCGCGACTCCGCGTCCTGAATCTCGCTGGGAACGAGATCGAATCGGTGGACGAGCTCGCGTTCCACAATTCCACGCAGCTGCAGCTGCTGGATCTGTCCGACAACGACGTCGAGTCGCTCAGCGAGAGGACGATGGAGGGTTTGCTGCGTCTCGAGCATCTCGATCTTCGCGACAACAGGTTTCTTTATTTATCTCGATCAAAAGCGATTTTGTGCTGTAATGCTTCTTTCACACGATTCGTTTCTCGACAGGTTGACATCGCTGCCGGAAACGATCTTCGACCCGAGCAGAGTCCGCTCGGTGGAGAGCGTGGATCTGTCTGGAAATCGATTCGACGAGATCCCGATCAGAACCCTGCAGAGACAGTCCGCGTCCCTGTCGCGTTTAAACTTGGCACGCAATCGATTGGTCGAAATTTTCACCCAGGATATCGCCAACAACGTAAAGGATCTGGACCTCTCTGAGAATCCTCTGAGCGAGAACGCTATAAAGGGAATACTAGGCGAGGCGAAGATCCTGCGATCGTTGAATCTTGCCAATACCGGAACGAACGCTCTCACCAGGCTGGAGACACCGTTCCTGAAGCGATTGAATCTCTCTGGGAATAGCATAGTGGACGTAGAACCTAATGCTCTGGAGCGTACGACGATGCTGGAGAGCTTGGACGTCTCCAGGAACCGGTTGACCGATCTAACGAGCGTGATCGTAGCCTTGAAGGGTTTGCCAGTCCTTCGTTGGCTGGACGTGTCAGGGAACGATGCTGGTATCGTCAACGAGACCACCTTCGAAGGACTGACTGCTCTACGATCCCTGAAGATGTCCGATCTACCGCACTGCGCGCGTATCGAGAGAACAGCGTTCAAACCGTTGGCCAATCTGCGTTCGTTGTCCGCGTACAACTACCCGAAGCTAGGCTACTTCGATGTTCAAGGGATCCTCAAAGGGATGAGTCGTTTAGAGTCGTTGGACGTGGAGATCAAGGACTCGTCGGTCAGCAACGAGCAGCTCTCGATACGCGCTCATCCGCGGCTCAGGGAACTGATTCTGCGCGGCGAGAGACTGAGGAACATTCTGTCCAGCTCGTTGGTCGGTGTTCGCGGTCGCAAATTGATCATAGGGCTCAAAAATACGTCTGTAGACGCGATACCAGCCGCCCTCTTCTTTCCGGTTCCCCGATCCACCGAGCTCGAGCTGGACATTTCCGGTAGCAAGTTCGCCACGCTGTCCTCTCAGTTTCTCGCCGCGCTCGAGGAACGCGGAGGCACCGTGAAGATCAGGGGCCTCGAGGAGAACCCGATCAACTGCAGTTGCGACGCCAGACCGCTGTGGAAGTGGCTGCGAACAACGATGGAGATCGGTGGCGGCAACTCGTCGGATCGGGTGCTCTGCGTTGCTCCCCCGCATCTGTCGGGCTCTGTTCTGACCGGTATCGAGGAGGACCAGCTGTCGTGCGAGTTCACAACCGCCACTGCGGGCTCCAAACACAGGACTACGATGCTCACCGATACCACCGCCGCCTCGAAGAAGTCTACCGTCGCTGTTTTAGAGCCGGAGATCATCTGGACGGTGGCGCCCGCCGTTCAGAATGATCCGAAACGAAACAAACATTATAACAATAATAATAACCACGAGCACGCGGTGGACACGTCGGTGGGGACTGCCTCGGGCACCGACGACACGTTGATCATCGGTATCGTCGGCGGGGTGGTAGCACTGACAGCCATAATCGTGATCGTTATTTGCATCTGTAGATTGAGATGGTCAAGTAGAGCGGAAGAAGCGCGAATGGCCGCGGTTGCGTCCAGCATCCGCGAGGCCTCCATGATACGACCAGCGAGCGCATATTCGGGAAAGATCAATCACGATCTCTACGTGGGGTCATACAATGGATCGACGCTGGATCGCGGGAACGGCGCGGTTGCACCTTCGATCCCAACCCCGCCAGTTCAGATAATGCCTTTCGTGCAACCGATGCATCTTATGCACACGCTCCTGACCCCCACGCCGATGCACCAACCACAATCACAGCAGCAATCGCAACTGCAGTCGCAACAGTTTTACGGTTACTGCGACGGCTCGTCGTTACCCGTCTACGTAGCCTGCTCCACGGACACGAAATGCGACAGATAACTGACCCGCGTCCGTCCACGCCGTGTACATACACACACATACCTCATAGTTTATTGTTAACGCGTTCTGTCACCATAGGACAACGTGGTGTACATACCGTACTTCATTTAGAAATTTTCTGTCACATCGATTTGTTTCTCTATCTAAAGTGTTCTACAATTAATTCATTTTCTGGAACTACTGGCACCCAGTAGTAGGCGTCAAGATATGGAAGATAGTGGTAGCCGATTTTGGGGGCAGACGGCTCATCGATTTCGAGATTTCTTTCTACGCTCGAATGTGTAAAACATAAGCGACAACGTATTGCTACCCAAAACTTGGTGCTCGATCGCTTAATTATATTATGTTCGTACACATATATGTATACACCTCGTACCCTAAGCTATCATTCTGTAAAAATATACATTTTTATGTACCGATCTTTTGATCTTGTCTTTCCTATACCTATCCTTCTTACTTAATAGCGAATGTACTTTATTGAAATTTATTTATGTAGTAGAGATCATAAATGTCTATGAAAAAGTATTAAACAACATTTCTGTAGAACGTGTTACAAATTTATTGAAAATGAAAAGGTATACCTCGTGGCCGAATCTGACTGCCATACCGACCTGAAAATTCAGAGCAGATTTTAGCAACCTCTTCTCATGAATGGCGATCAGTTGAGAAACTATTCATTGAATTAGACTCGATGGACAGACAGCTGTAGTGAGTACGTAAATACATGTGAGTTAACTATGGAAGGAATTAAAATTCATTTCTGAATGTGTTGTTAACGTTGCGAATGACACGAAAATGGTAATGGGGTTTCGAGACCCCATAAAAATGGGCCGAAAAAATACATTGGGTGAAAAATCTACTCGTATACCTCGTCTGTGCTTCCCCTTCGATATGTTAACACTTTACCGACCGATAGCCTATTAATCGACTGTTTTACCGGCTAACGCTTACCGACTGATAGCCTATTAATCAACTGTTTTATCGGTCGGCGTTTACCGACCGATAGCCGATTAATCAACCGCTACCGGTCGGTAAAGTGTTAATGATAATTTCATATTACAATTCCCGCCGTTGCATTGCGCTGCGGTCTCATTCTTTTCTCTGCCGGTAACGTCGCGTGTGACACGAAAATGGTAAGGGGGCTACGTAGCCCCGCCCTCGGAGGTATATTACACGAAAATGTATTGAACGATTATTGTGCGTTCAAATTTCGTGTGAATAAGTATTAATCGTGATTCAAATAGTCTTCTTTGTCGGGTCTAGCATCGAAAATCCCTGAAACTCCGTACGAATCACGCGTGTTTACACGGAACCGTTGCAGATGCGACGATATCGCGCACCTGAGGCCCCGTTAGCAAACAGAGGCGACAGTTCGTTCGCGTAACATTTCGTTTCTCAGGGAACGACGGCGGAATTAAGCGCAGATATTTCGTCGAAGCGAACACGCGCTTCTAAGTATAGTTTGCAGCGTCTGGAAAAGATTCACGAGGCTTCTTTTCACTCGTAAAGTCACGAGTAGAAGGAATGGCACGAGGGAGGACGAGCAACATGCATGGGACACGTGCGCGCGAGGATACCGGACAGGAAACGACATTTTACTCGAAAATGCAACGAGAATCTATTTACTAATTTAACAAGCCATCGATCTTTTAATTTCCTCATTCATACCACGAAGAATGAAATAGTAGGTTTTATAAATGGCTGTTCCATCGAAGTATATTTCTTGTCCGAAATACTCTATTGTCCAATAATATATTTTTTTCTTTTACTCGTACACGCCGCGTTGGCAGAGTCCGCAAAATTTCTCGCACGTGTTTGTTATTCTCTCTTCTAAAAATGTTTTTTAAGAACCGATTCCGATTTCTGTTTTCTACCATGGATGGTTTGTACTATACACACACGTCAAACGGCGTGCATATACACAGACAGGGTCGTGCCGCGGCGTTTCCCCGCGCGGAAGACGCCAGCCGTCGCGATGCCAGAAACCAGCTGCGCCTCAGCTGTTTTCTATCCGTTCCATCCTGTGCTTCCCTTTTCCCGGCGATGCTTCGACGTTTCGAAATAAAATCCCCGATAGACGCGAATCTGTTTCCCCGAACAGAACGGTATTCTCTTCGAAACACGAGAAACTGTAGAATACGATCTCCTTTTTTAGTCCCTGCATCCTGGTACAATTCTTGAACTCTTAGGTTTAAAAAGTGCATCGATGGGTGTAATACAGATTACAGAGATTAAAAAATCAATTTTCTGGAAAACGAAAGCTCAAACGAGTGGAATTGATTAAGTTCGAACGCTAGTTTCAACAAGATGACTCTGTCGAAAAACCGCGGCGAGGGGGTTGCAACGGCCGCATAACGGAAGAGGTTCCGCGCGTGTAATAAACGGTTCCCGCGGGGGAAGACCCGCGACGTTAGCCAGGAAGAAGAGGCTAAGCTGTCGGGGCCGACAGAACGCGGAAACAGCTGTTTAATCTTATCCGGTTCACCTGTTCTATTCGACAGCCAGACCCGTTCTTTAGCGGCTGCATGCGCAGTCAGGCCATGAAACGCGAGCCACACAACGCGCGCCTTTTGTCGACACCGAGCACAACGAAACCAGTTTATTACGTGCCGGGAAAATTATTTCTTTCCCTTCGGACTGCCTTTCCCCCCCCCGCGACCTTTGTTTCACCGCGCTGTGCACCGGCAGGAGAGTCGCTCCATTGTCGTTCGATCGAGCGCCCTGACTCCCCTGGATCGTCTTCCTCGGGGGACATTGACCAGAACTCCCATGACGGTTAAAGAGGGAGAGAGAGAGACCTATAGGGAGACGATCGGTCGAATACCGAGCCCTTAGGGGATCGCGGAGCTCCATAAACCGAAATAGTTGGCCAAATGTTTCCGGTGCCTGGCAAACGGATGTCTTCCCGAACTTTCGCAGATGTCTCGAGTTTTTGACATTATTTCGCGACACGAGGAAAGCACCAGAGAAAATAGATTATATATGTAGGGGAGTGGGACATAGTGTACGATGTCCGTGGTTTGGATCGTGTGTGAGAGTGGGGGGTTGCGAGCGGGACATGAGTTGTATGGTTAAAAGACAAGAGCGATTAGCGTTTAGGAGATTGATTCGAGTTTGCGACGTGTTAGCATATTAGTTCATTTTTCTTCCAATCCATTGCAATCCCTTGCAAAAATCCTACATATATTAAAAGTTATTCCAAAGCCTGTTTCTACGTTCAATGATGGAGTCAGCAGCTCAGATTTCTCTTCGAGATGCGCGGGGCAGGAATTTCGACAGCGAACAATAGCAATCATAACGAAGTCAATCGAGGAGAAGAGGTGGGAAACGAAGGGTGGATTCCGGGGGGGGGGCGCGATACTTTCCGTTTCCCTTGTTAGCCGCGCTCGTTGCGGGCTCGTCGTGTCGCGGTGACGCGAGCACAACGGAATCCGGGGCCTCTCCGGGCGATGCAAAGTAATACAAAAGCACGCTCGCGGCGTGGCCCGTTAACTCGACGAAGAGTGTCACCGGCAGCGGCTCCGGGATCGAACTTTTCCAAGAGCCCCGGATCCGTCGAAAGAACGCGTCGACGCGCGTTTCGAGCCGCTCGCGAAAGAGAAACGCGCCGCGTTCGCCGCTGTGATCCCCGCTCGGGTGCAAAAAAAACCACCCCTGGAGAACGTGGCGAAAACTTTCACGATTCTTCTTCCCCGTGACAATTTCGATCGAGAGAAATACTCTATTTTAGCGAGTTAAGCATCTCAAAAGTGTATCGTGGGTGGTTCGAGAGATTTTGAGCGATAGTTCGCGCAGTCGCCGGCAGATGGCTACGCTCGATCTGTACCTTCTCGCAAGTACTCGATCGACCACTCATTTCTAGATACTCGCTTCCTCCATACAGCTCTTGGAGTCTAATTGCAACTCTAAGAATAGGATGCTGAGATACCACTGACCAATCAGTGTCAGTTTAGCGATGTATCACATACTGAGAAGTGGAGAAGCTATCGAGAGTAAGATCATAGACATATTTCTTGCTCGAATGGAACAAGAATTTTGCCAATACGGCTGCTATGAGAATTGAAGATTCCATCGAGAAACCCTATAATTAAGCAGTTTATCGTCGAAAAAAACAGGATTAGGACACCGATTAGGGTACCGATGGTGGACGGGTAAAGTGTTAATGGCGGCTCGATCGAGGGGGGAGGTGGAGGGGGGGGGGCGGGAAGGCTGTTGTGCGCTTTTTCGCGGCGGTAAAATCGGCTGACGCGGTTTCTCCCTCGCGAGAGGAGTGACTTCGTGCTATTGACATCCGCTCCTCGTGGTATCGACATCCCGGTACAAGCCAGCCCACGCCGAGAGCACGATTTTGCGTCACTTCCAGAGAGAGAGTGGCGGCGAGGGGGGGTACGCGGCGGTGCGGGAGAGACAGAAAGGCCAGGGGGTAAACGAGGAGGGAGCGAGAGAGAAAATATCGTTGGACGAGCACACGAGCCACGTCGGTATAATTTTCACAAGCGCGAAAATTACCCCCGAGCATGGGCCGATAAGTCGTAAATTACGAGTGCCCGCCGGAGGTAGTACGTTCCGCTCTATCGCCGTGTAAAACGTGGCTTCGACTCGTCTGCGAGTGACGGCATCACCCGTCGAAACTTACGGCCGCTCGTCGTACAAATTGAACTTTGCGTTCGAACCAGCTTCCAACCCCGGATCGACGTTATTCCGGAGGTTTATCGGGCAGCGAGCTTTGTTCGCGCGCAAATTAAAAGCCGCCCGAGACACGTCCGCGCCAACCGTTCCCCGCTCGACTTTTCGTCTTTTTGCCGCGGTCCCCGTCGCTGCTTCTGCGCCCTTCGAAAATTGGCGCGACTCTGAGGAAACGAAAATAGTCGCGAATGCAAAGGGGGAACTCGCGTGGACTGCGGAGGCGTTCGATTAGAGGCTCTCGTGCTTCGAATTAGCAAAGATTTTTGCTGATGATCGAAGGTACACCTCTCTGATGTACTGTCAACGTAGAAATATCCCCCCCAAAATGTATAATCCGTCAGGTGCAGGCGGTTGCGTCGATTCCGGTAGCCGAAACTTAGATTACTTGGTCGTCTTAATTCCCGTCACCTGAACGCCGTCGTTAATTCAGACTTGCGGTTTCCGCGCGATAAATTGAAATGGCTTCGTTAGCCGCCTGAAATGAGCATACGCGAATCGTCGAGTTTAACGGTCACCTTTCGCGAACGATTCCAGCGATATTTGGCTTCCGGCGACGTTCTATAGTAATCACTCGCAGGTTGCAACAGATCTGCCCTCGCGAGTTGCAACGCAGTTACGTTCCACGGTTGTCGCGAAACGGGTCGAAGATTTTCTTTGCACGATTTTGAAATCGTTATTGGGGGC